TCAACTTCATCATCATCGTCGTCGTCACTATTATCACCATCGCAACCATCATCATCATTGTGAACGCCAACTCTGTAATCACCTTGACCAACTCCACTACCACCACCAACGTTACTACTGCCAACTCCTCCACCACCACCACCACCAACCCCATCATCAACTCCACCACCACCACTCCACCCGCCCGAACGCCTCCCCGGTTCACCTCTCACTCTGCTCTCTTCCATTCACCATCTCGCCCGCCCCCCCCCCTCTCTCACCCTCCTCTACCCCGCTGCCCCCCTTCCCAAATCCTCCCCACATACCCCCCACAACACAGAATACCCCAGCGCCCGCCCGCCGGGCTGCGAGCCGCCTAATTAGTATTTAGCCGCGCGTGGTAATGTAATTAGCGCCGCCGCCACGCAATATCCGCTACTGTCTGATTCGCTTAGCGCTTGATCGGTCGTAGGGGGCGGGGGGGGGGGGTCTCCTCTGTGCGGTGCGCGAGGTCCTCCAGCCCAGGCTTCCTTGCCTGACTTCAGCAGAGGAAGGGGGACATTGAGCCGGGCCTCGTAGCGTGGGGGGGGGGGGGGGGTGCGTGGCGATGTAGGGGGCGAGTGGTAATTGGGGGTGTGGGGGGGGGAAGTGATTGAGGAGGGGGATTTGGGGTAGTGCGGGGGGGAGAGGGGGTGGCAAGGGAGGGAAGGGGGGGGCACACAGTTGGCAGATGAATAAATTAATAACTAATCAGTGTTATTATGCACGGGTCACCGCATCGCGGCTTGAATTACGAATGAGTGAGCGTTTGCCGCGGGTGAGTGAGGGTGAGGACGAGTGGGCGTTTGCAGGGAGCGAGGGTGAGTGCGCAGTGGGTGAGTGGAGTGGTGGGGTGAGGGGCTCGCTTCAAGTGGAGGGTGGCCGCCCTCCCCACCGCCCTCCCCCCCCCCCCCCCCCCCCCGCGGCCCCCCCCCCACGGCCCCCCCGGCTCTCACAGCGCATCTCGTTTCGCCCGTGATTGATGGCGCCTTAATTACGGAGGTAGTGGCTGATCCGAGCAATTATCTCGATCGAATGAATCCCTCGGACAGAGGCCCCGAATTCGGATCCCGCGTGGCAGCAGCGAGAGGGGGTGGAGGGAAGAGGAGAAGGAGGAATTTGAGGATCAAGAGGAGAAGAGGCAAGAGGAGGGGGTAGGAGGGGGCGGGGGTAAGAGGGGATGGGGAGGGAGGGTGAAAGTAAAAGTGAAGGCGCACACGGAGGGAGCAGCAAGGATAGGATGAGGAGCCAGAGGAGGAGTAAATGAGATGAAGGACAACAGAAGTGTCTGGAAGGGCAACAGGAGAGGGGAAAGAATAGGAGGGACAAGAGGAGGAGGAAGGGAAGGTGGAGAAAGGGAGGAAACGGAGTGGGAAGAGCAGAGGGACAAGAATAAGGACAGAGGAAGGAACCCGCCAATGATGATGATGCTGCTGATGATGATGTTGCTGCTATTGATGATGCTGCTGCTGACGATGCTGCTGCTGCTGATGATTTGCTGCTGATGATGTTGCTGCTGACGATGATGATGCTGATGATGTTGCTGCTACTGATGATGCTGCTGCTGACGATGCTGCTGCTGACGATGATGCTGCTGATGATGATGTTGCTGCTGATGATGTTGTTGTTGCTGATGATGTTGTTGACGATGACGCTGCTGCTGATGATGTTGCTACTACTGGTGATGCTGATGATGATGATGTTGCTGACGATGATGCTGCTGATGATGTTGCTGATGATGATGCTGCTGCTGTTGATGATGTTGCTGATGATGATACTGCTGATGATGTTGCTGCTACTGATGATGCTGCTGATGATGATGTTGCTGACGATGATGCTGCTGTTGTTGATGATGTTGCTACTACTGATGTTGTTGCTGATAATGATGATGACGATGATGATGGCCCTCGTTGCGCTTTCACAGTCGCCTATCGCCGCCGCCGCCGCCGCTAATTCCCCGCGTCGCGCCTCATTGACTCGAGGATAATTAAGCGGCAACTCCAATGGCTCTAAGAAGAGCCTCAATAAGAGCTCTCCGCTTGCGCGATGTTGGTGGAGGGGTTCGGGTGGGGGGAGGGGCGGGGGTGTGGAAGGGGGCGGGGCGAGGGGCGGGGGAAGGGGGCGGGGCGAGGGGCGGGGGGTGGGGGCATTCTCCAATTATGGTTCCGTCCAGGGCTTCATTCCTCAGCGAGTCTTATTCCCGATCGTTTTGTTTCACTGACGGAGCCGTGCGGTGTGCAGCCGCAGACGCAGCGAGAGAGGTATCGCTGGAGGTGGTCTACCGGGTGCGGAAATTATTTAACGGGCCTCCGGCCTGGCCGATATAAAGCCCTGGATCCGTCCAAACAGAATGAGACTCTGTGTTTAGACTGGAGGAATCCGACGAGCGATAAAGCTCTTTTTCACGAGGTGTCCAGTGTTGTTCGGATCGGCCCCTCGTTCCACGCCGCGCTGCTGCGGGAGGGCTGGGAGGTCGCTCCTTCTCCTCTGCTGCCCCCGAGGGATTTAAATTTCCCTCCTCGTCGCCGATGGCATCGCTGCTTCATCTCCCGTTCCTCCAGGTCCAGGCGGTGACGAACTCTCCCCCCAAGCAGTGTCTCGCTTACCCCTCGCTTTCCGGCCATTCCACCTCCACCCGACTGGACGTCTGTGAAAAATAATTTTTATTTTCTCGTCGGATTCCTCCAGTCTAAATAAAGATTCTGACCCAAATCATTATCCCCTCCTCCCCATACACCCCCTGGTTGGTATCGTCATCAGCCATTGTCAATCCACTGCTAGATGAATGTTTTACCTCCCCCGCCACCCAAGCCGTCGAACTCTCTCACGATCCTGCGATGCAATAATCCACCCAGCTCCCGCTGCACGCCAGCCGACTCCATCGCTCCATCTCACCCCCCCGCCCTGGCCCTGCCCCGTTGCTGCTTCAAACTCTCACGACACGCGGGGTTGGCAGCGCGTCCCAGGGACGGGGGTCAAGTGACGCCCACACGAAACACTCCCCTCGACCACCGTCAGACATTCGCGATTTGCCTGACCCTCACCGCGCACACCGTCCATCGACTAACCCGACCCTCCTCACCACTCGCCGCTTGAGCCGACAGAGTGGGAAGCTCGGTGAGTATTCGACGGCCATCCTCTCATTCCATAATTACGCTCGCCTATCCACCGCTGGATGAGGGCCTGCCCACTCCGTGCGGATCGTGAGGGCTATCCTTCCCCACGCTTGTCAGTGCGGGTGGTAAAGGCAAAGGCACGGGGGGGGAGGGGCGCATAGACGTGGAAGCATAGGAGTAAGGTACAACAATGGATTTTTAGCCCAAGAACTGCCCTCTGGTGTGACAACCTCGCATCGTTATCTAGGTTCAAGGTGCGCACTGCGGGCGATGTCGTCATACTGTCGTCATAATCGTTTGTAACGCGACGCCGTCGCTGCACAGCATTCACTCACTCACGCAGAGAGCGAGAGAGAGCGAGAGGCCGGCTCGGAGGCGCCAGCAGCAGGAGCAGGAGGAGCCACGGCGTGCGGGGAATGACAGCGGCAGCCACGCGGCAGGGTGCCAGCGCTTCCGACAGTTGCCAATATCTCTGCGATCCTCTGTTGTGTCTAGATATATCTATCTATATATAGATATATCTATCTTTAGATTAAGTTGTCGTTCCTGACACGGTTTTCTGGGTTTGGCCACCTGAATGTGAAATTGTCGTTGATGTTCTGCATCTACACCATCAGCCGTACGCAGGAAGACGAAGAAGAATTTGGTATGGGCCAAATTAAATGAGTCATAAATTATATTTCGCCAGTAAATACTCGCCGAGTCTCGAGACTCTTTTTGTTGTTGTTTGTTGTTTAGAAGGTTCCTGCCACATTTGTCGCGCGTGGCCCGATCAGTGCCTCCAATGAGCGCCCAGCTCCATAGTGCAAGCAAACCGAAAGACCTTCAGGGGAAAACCTCACCGCGCACACGAGGGGGGTCACACTCAGCCCGGCCCGGTCGCTCCTCGCGGAGCCGATGCCTGCGGCACCTGGCAAGCCCCCGTAGGTTACAACTCCGCGTGTGCTTCCGCTGTAAGGCGTCTTGCATTGTATACGCGCAGTATATGACATGTGTCGTTGTCCAGGGGTACAACATACAGATGCCACTGCACAAACCGCCGCTGAGCACCATCAGCACCATCAGCAGCGTGGTGAAGTACGGTCAGACAAGCCCCCACGACCGACCACGATGTGGGGGGGAGGGGGGGTGTGGAGGGAGGCTCTCATCCAGCAGTGGAGTGAGCAAGCGTTGCACGCGTGGCACGTGCGAATGCGCGCCCACGACGACGGCTCTCCGTCACCCGCGCTGCATGTCGTCGCGCTTGGGAACGCGACGCGGGCGAGGTCGATGCAGCGCGTGAGATGTTTACAGCTGCCCCGAGTCGCAACGTCGATACCGCGTCAGGTCGCGGAATAAATTGCGGGTGAACGAATATTGGGAGTTTTGTGGGGGAGGGTGGGGGGGGGGGGTTCTTCTTTTCGGTTCGTGTTGTATACCGCATTGGCGCGCACGAGCCGAACATCCACGTCTACAGCGGGAGGTGGTGTATGGGAAATAACGGCGGCGAGGTTTCAAGCACAGATCAACCTCGTCAGCAAGAGGTGGCGTTACGATGTAATGCACATCTGTTTTTTTTAGCGCCGAGGAACCAACGTCACTCATCACTGACCCCCCACCCACCCACTCACCATCACAAATAATCCTCCCCTCCCTCCATCCCTCCCTCCTCATCCCCGCACCTCCCTCCCCCCATGCCTCCCCTCACCGCTCCGCCCGCCCGCGCGCGCACGCACGTGCCAGGTCTCTCGCGCTAATTGCTGATGAGACGAAGAGGTGCGAGCGGTTACGGGGCCCCCGCAACTCGCCCCCCCCCACCCCTCCCACCCCCACTCCGCGCCACACACCTCGCTCCCCCCCCCCCCCCCCCCACCACCGCGCGCCTCTCACCCCATTCCTTCCCACCCTCGCTCCGCGCCGTCATCAGTGACAGAGCGAAGTGATTCGGAGCGGAGAGAGGAGCGACCGTTCCTCATCGCCGAGGAAGACAGCGAGGGGGGGAGGAAGAGAGCGCGCGCGAGTGCACGGAGAGAGTGCAAGGAGAGAGTACACGGAGAGAGGGCAAGGAGAGAGGGCAAGGAGAGAGGGCAAGGAGAGAGGGCACGGAGAGAGGGCAAGGAGAGAGGGCAAGGAGAGAGGGCAAGGAGAGAGGGCACGGAGAGAGGGCAAGGAGGGCGCGGGACAGAGCGTACAGGTACCGCGCGTGCGGAAAGAACGAAGAGAACGCGAAGGGCGCGCGAGAAAGAGAAGTGGGGGGAAAGAGTGAGAAAGAGACGCGACGATAGAGAAAGAGGGAGAGATCGTACGAGTGAGACCCCCCGCCCCCACCCCCGCTACCATGCACAACAGCAGCGAGACGGAGGTATGGACGTGGCGCGGAGGGCCAGGACGTGGCGCGACTGGGGAGGACCCCCTCGACGCTCAGCGAGACGCTCCGGACCCCCCTGCGGAACGGCCGGACCTGCCGGGTGGCGCGCCCGGTCCGCCTCTCTACGAGGACGCGCTGTTGATCGGCGCGCCTCGGCAGGAGCCGCCGCACGTGGCCGTGCCGCTAACCGTGGTGTTCGCGGCCCTGTTCGTTCTCGGCGTGGCCGGCAACCTCCTGACCGCCTACGTGAGCGCCCGCCACACGCGGCTGCGCCACAGCAGCGTGCGCTACCACCTGCTGAGCCTGGCGTGCGCCGACCTGGCCCTCCTGCTCACCATCCCCGCGACTCTCTACCGCTCCTACTGGGAGTACTACCCGTGGCGGCTGGGCGACGCGGCGTGCAAGCTCTACTTTATGCTGCGCCAGGCCGCCTACACCGCCACGAGTTGGAGCATCGTGGTGTTCAGCCTCGAGCGCTGCCTCGCCATCTGCCAGCCGATCCGCGCCCTCTCGCTCGTGCGCCGCTCCCGCATCCGCCGCCTGCTCGCCAGCGTGTGGCTGCTGGCCGCGCTCTCAGCGCTGCCCTACGCCTTCGTGTACGGCCAGGTGCGCGCCTACGTGTACGACTACGCGGGCGCGAACGCCACCAACTTCTCGGTGGTGATGACCACGGTGTGCGAGCTCACCGAGAAGGACCCGTCGCCCATGTTCACGCGCATCACGCACGTCAAGTGCTTCGTGTGCTTCATCGTACCCATGGTGCTCATCTCGGTACTCTACAGCCTTATTCTTCGCTCCTTCTGCCCCAGCATGAGGCTCAGCGCCGGTTCCTCCACCCCCGCGCCGCGCGGGTGTCAGAGTGGAGGTGCAGGTACAGAGGCCCGCGGGAAAGCGGCCGCGGCGGATGGGGGGGCTGCCGGGGCTGGGGCCCAGACGCCGAGAGACGCGAAAGGGGAGAGGCCTACGAGAGATGGGGGGCCCGCGACGAGAAGAGCCGCTGGAGGCCTCGGCGGTTCCGAGGCGCTGCTCAACCCGGACGTGAGAGACGCGGGGACCTTTGAGAGGATGACGCAGAGGAGGCGCGCTCAGCAGCAGAAAGCCATTCGACTGCTGGGTAACTACTGTACAGCGGAGTAACTGCAGCGGGGTAACCGCACGGGGGGTCACGACAAAGGGGGCATATTTATAACGGCGGGGTTACCAGAGACGTGGGTGCATAGAATCACGCAGGACAATAGTGCATGCGTTGTGCTGTGATTCTACGAATCTCGCTTACAGCAATGCGGGGCGCTGTCCAGCGTGCTGAAGTGTGGTCATCCCATCCGCATCGCGACCCGCGCGGCCTGCAGAGGCCCTCATCCAGCAGTGGATTGACAGAGAGGGCTGTACTTGGGCGTACGCGCACGCAACGGGTAGATAGAGAGGACCTTTACACATAAGGGTGACTGCAGCCACGGGGAAGTCTCCCGTTCGCTCAAAGTTATCCGACGCCTCATGCCCGCACACAAGTCAGAGCGGCAGAGTGTCCAAGTGCCTCAAAGTAAGCATGTCCTGGGTTCCATGCCTTTGCCTTTATGTTTGCGGAGTATGCATATTCTCATCTTGTTCTGCATGGCTTTTTCCCGGATTCACCGGTTTTCTCCCACAGCTAATTAAAAAAATCATGTTGAATGTAACTGGCATTGGACAAAGAACACAATACCAACAAATTACTCAATTGGCATCACACTCAGCAGCAATATCGTCCCTTCCTACTGCGAAAATTTAGCGGGACCCTCCGGAATTATATTTTATTTAACAAAAATGTTTATATTGCTGTTGCTACTGCGTTGGCAGTAGCGTTGACAGTCAACAAACACAACCCAACACTCTCGTCAATGACACGGCCTTAACACCTCTATTTATATTAGGCGACGTTTCCGGCAATCACCCTTCTTCATAGCACCTAAACAGAGAGAACATAAATTTGTGAATAATGGTTGGGGACTGAACTTAACAACTGAATGGAGCCTGATGATAATCAAAAATGTAAAATGTTTTCTGATGACAATTGTTTTAATTGGCAAACGAATAGTGACACTATTTTTAAATATTGCAAACGAGTCTTGAGACTCGGTGAGGCTTCCATGAGATAAACAAGCGGAACCACAATCCATAAAACAATCAAAATAACACAACGCCGATCACGAACTCGGTGCGTAAGCACTCGCAGAGGGAACGGCATTGGCTCTGATGGCGATCGCGAGAAGGTACCGGGAAGGGCAGCGATTGCACGACTGGGAAACAACGGAGGTCTTGTGCCCCTTGCCCGGTCTGGAGGGCCTGGAGTTAGACCCCCCACGCCGCCGCCAACCACAGATCCCACGTATCGTCTAAACAGACTTTTGGGGGCGAGTGCTGTTAGCAAGTAGCACCTATGAAGGTCGGCACCGTGGCACACGAGGTGGTGGGTGGTCAGCACTACGCCTGACCGCCTTCGTCTCCATAGTGGCATTGTTTACACACCGCATCAGGTATGAATTTGAGGTTGAGTCGACTTAGACGAGGCTCAGGAACGGTTCAGACAAACGTCACTGGTGTTGGTGGCCGTGAGCGGGAATGGAACTGGGGCCGTCGGGTTGGTAGCGCACAGCGCCCCACCGCACACGCACACAAACGTACTCGGCCCAACCTGATGGTTCAGTCGCCGTGAGATAAGAACCATACGGCGATAAATGTGACAAATGTTGTAGTTGGTGGCTGGGTGCATTAGTACAGGCAGTGTGATGCTGTAACGTGACAGGCAAGGCGCCAGAGGATGGGATGACCTATCCCAAGGTTCGCCATCGCACCTTTAGTAACTAATTGGCACGTTTTGGTTACATAGCAAACGTTACTAATTGGCTGTGTCGGGTTGTGGCGGGTTTAATGACACATTTCTATTTACGCGATTTAACCCCCCCCAAAAAACACTTTATTAATGGTCGCGAAAGCGACCATTAAATCGTTACCGGGATGATCTCTGATTGGGCGTGGTGGGAGTGGTGATGGTGGTGCACCCACGTGATCGCGGCGCTTTGCAGGCGAAGGTCGGTGGATCACGCAGAGATTTGTAAAAGTTAATCAGGTGGAGGCGGTGTGCTGAGATTAGAAGCTTCCCACGCGTTACGTCATCGTCATCTTTCGCCCCATTCCGCTGGGTGTCGGGTTAGAATTAGCATTGAGTTAGGATTTAGGGTTTTAGAGAGAATTAGGATTGAGTTAGGGTTTCGGGTTTTATAGAGGATTAGGTCAATGGTTCGGGTTAGAGTTAGGTTTGAGTTGAGGTCGGGCTGAGTTCGGGTTGAGTTCGGGTTGATTTATGGTTGAGATAGGGTTGGGTTATGGTTGAGCTGTAGTTGAGTTAGGGTTGAGTTATGTTTGAGTTAGCGTTGAGTCATATAGATGTCATCTTAACAGAGTGGTGGGGTAACAAAAATAATAATACAAACCTAATGAAGAATATTATTATTATCTGAGTTCCTTTACATTCTCTCAAGAAGAAAGTTAATATTCTATGGGCAGTATGCGGGGTTGGTGGATCACAAAGAGATTCATCCCGCAGTCAATCACGCGCCGCGAGACACAAATCACCAAACTCAACCTTAACTCGGCAGTACAGTAAGTGGGTTCCTTCCCAGCCTCTTCATCGCACTCTTCAGAGGTTCCTCCATCCTCGAGCAGCTCGCGGCCTCCTCCATCCGTTTGATAAAAAATTAAATCTCCGTACATTATTCATCCGCCGGGGATGGGTGGAGTGGAGGTCAAGGCTCCATCACCGCAGTTGAAACTCGCCAGACGAGGAGGGAGGGAGAGAGAGGAGGCCACGTGGACGAGGCAGGGCCCTCGGGCGCTGCAATTAGCGGAGATTTGGCGACGCGTGGGTCGTAGGCGGCGGAGAGAGAGGGGCAATCCGTGGAAGATTCTCCACTCGAGACATCACAGCCGCGGCGCTTTTTAAGCTGAAAGTCGCCGGTCGCACGCCGCCCCGAGAACGCGGATCGAGGCTTTCATCCCCGCACTCTCATTAGCGGCTTGCGGGGGTGCGGCCACGCCCCCCCCCCTGTAGATCCCAGCTGCCCACTGTAGCCCCCCCCACGCCCCCCCCCAATTAACTACCCAGCAACTTCCTGCAACCCACCTGCAGTTCTCAACATCTCTCGCTGGCTCCCAGCTTCCAGCGGGCGCCTCTTATCTCCTCCACAAACTCCTCCTTTACAACAACCTCTTCCTCCTCAACATCTTTCTCAAATTTCGATTTAAAGTTTTCGTGACTGCAAGGATTCATCTTCCTTGGTTCTTTCGGTAAAGTCACGTAGAATGAGAATAAAATAATAAAATAAAACAATAAAATTCTCACGACGTTTTGGCCACAACACAAGTGGCCTTCTTCAGGTGAAAGGAACAAACCTGTCGGGACGACAGCGCTACAATGAGCTCTGCCGTCCCGACAGGTTTGTTCCTTTCACCTGAAGAAGGCCACTTGTGTTGTGGCCGAAACGTCGTGAGAATTAAATTGTTTTATTTTATTATTTTGTTCTCATTCTACGTGACTTTACCGAAAGAACCAAGGAAGATGATCTTTCTCAAAATCCTTCATCGGAACAGTGTCCTGCTTCTCCTCCTGCTCCTGTTCATGCCACGCGCCTCTCCCACGTGCAGCAGCAGCGGAACGCATGGGCGAGGTCACGTACCGAGGCGGCTCCTGGGAGCGGCGCGGATTAAGCCCTGGGGGAGTGAGCGGGGGGGGCAGGAGGAGGTGGTGGAGGAGGTGGTACGGCAACTCAGCTTGGGGAGGGGTAGAAGGGTGGGGGCGGTGGGGGAGGGGCGGGTGCTGAAGATTTACCCATCGAGAGAAGAGCCAACCCATAATTACTCACTGCGGAGGAGCCCACCTCCCACCCCGCTCCCCACGACCCCTCTCCTCGGACGCGTCTCCTTCATTAAGGAGCTCATCCCGGAGTGTGGAGACAATAGCCCCCCACGCCCCCCCCCCCCGCCCTGGGCGCTGTGCATCTTCGTGTCTCCTTGGAGACTTCCACTCATAGCTGGGTGTTTGGTCTGAATGTTCGGTGCTTTTAGTGCGGGGTGCTGGTTTGTCGCTGGATGCTTTTGCGAAGGGTTTAGTTTGTTGTCCTTCCCCCGCACCTCCGATTAGCACGGTTGGCTACGTGCGGTGTTAAAGAAGTTCACCGTACATACACACAATCGGGTTTAGGTGAAGAGCGCAGGGTGTGGGTGTGCCGGGTTCCGCCAATCTCCTTCATTTGAACACCCTCATCCTCCTCTTCAATATCTTTCTCAAAATCCTTCATCGGAACGAGGTCCTGCTTCTCCTCCTGCTCCTCCTCATCCCACGCGCATCTCCCACGTGCAGCACCCAAAAAAGCAGGGATGCAAGATTAAGGTGTGCTTGAGTTAGGTGCTGAGTCCAGGGTGTACGTACCTGTACTGGGTGCAGGTTTTGATTTCAGGGTGCAGGGTGTCTCGTGACGGTGTTCACACATCAGTCACTCGCTCGCTGTTCTCGCTGGGCGCATCTCGGAGACATCTCACTCTACCTCCTTACACGTCATCTCACCTCATCTTACCTCGTCTCGTCTTACAACTCACATCTCCTCTCATCCCATTTCCTGTAATTTCATCTCAGATCTGCCCTCATCTCATCTCAGATCTCCTCTCATCTCACCTCGCATCTCCGCCCGCACCGCATCCCGTGTGACTCTTCCTCCTCTGCACTGTTTCCAGCGCCGCTCCTGACATTTGGATGAAAAGGAGACGGGTAGAGGCGTAATTGCGAGGCAGCGGGAAGTAGCGGGGAACGCGGGGTGGGGTGGGAGGCTGATCAACCCAAACAATCCAGCGAGAAAAATATGAACCCACTTATCGCCCCCCCCCCTCTCGCCTTCAACGCACCCCCACAACCACTTCCTCTAAGTCCCACTCCGCTCACGCCTCCCCTCTCCTCCGGCCACTCGGAGCGAGCGTTGTGTCGAATTCTGAGCATTAATCAATCACTCCACCCCTCCCCACTCCGCTCACCTGGTGCCCCCCGCAGCCCCCCCCCCCCACTATCACACTCACCTGTGAACCCCCTCGCTCACTCCCCTCCCGCCTACCCCGCAGCCTCCGCTGTCTCCTCGTGTCGTGCGTCACTCGCTCGGATCGTCTTTGTTGTCGCAAAGAAGAGCCCCCACCCTTTACTCTAACAAACACATAGCCCCCCTCCACTCACACACACACAGCCCCCCCCCCTTCACTCACACGCGCATAGCCCCCCCCTCCACTCACACGCACACAGCCCCCCACCCCCTTCACTCACACGCGCATAGCCCCCATCCACTCATACAAACATAGCCCCCCCCTTCACTCACACACACACACACAGCCCCCTCCACTCACACACACACACGCAGCCCCCTCCACTCACACACACAGCCCCCTCCACTCACACACACGCGCATAGCCCCCCCCTCCACTCACACACACACAGCCCCCCCTTCACTCACACACACAGCCCCCCCCCTTCACTCACACACACACAGCCCCCTCCACTCACACAAACATAGCCCCCCCCTCCACTCACACATACAGCCCCTCCCCCCTTCACTCACACACACATAGCCCCCCCCCCTTCACTCACACACACACACACAGCCCCTCCCCCCTTCACTCACACACACACAGCCCCCCCCCCCCTTCACTCACACACACACAGCCCCCCCCCTTCACTCACACACACATAGTCCCCCCACCCCACCAGTCGCCCCCATCCCCCACGACCCCTCCACTGCACTCATCTGGCTCCGGCTCCTCCGCGTACGCTGCTGGGCGCTTGACCCCCGCCCACGTGACAGCGGCCGTGAGTGGTGACGGCACGAATGCGATCCGCACCAACACGCTCACCAAAACGCTCCGCTAACCCACACTCACATCGCCTTACACAGATCACCTCGCTGGCCTACGCGACCCGCCCGATCTTCACTCATTCACCCACGTCCCTCGCCCATTATTCACAATCGCACCGACTCTTTAACTCTGTGCTCGCCCGCACGTTAACGAAAACTCGCTCACACTCACCCAGCTCACTCAGCCGCTCACCAACACTCACCTTCGTCACCCGCCCACAACACTCAACCTCGCTCATGTATCGGTGTGGGTGTGTGGGTCGGTTTCGTGATATATTTTCCCACGGGGTCGGATGGAACGGCGGCACAATGGTTCACGCAATTGCTATATGGAACCCACGAGCCGAGTTCGATTCCCGGCCATGGCTAACATTCATGATGTGGATCGGCTGTGGGGCCCTCCCCTTCACCGACTCGGACTCACCAGCGCGGTAAGGTATGGTCAAACAATTCCCACGATCGACAGGGCCCGTGGAAGCTTGGATCCAGCCGTGGATTAACACAGGAGCTGTACATTATGTTTGTCATTTTAATTACTCGCGCTCCGACAACTGCCATGCCTCGTTATGCGGCCTCTGCTTAACTGCGACCCCCCCGTGTCTCGCCTCCTCTTCCCGTGCCTCCCTCCTCCCCGCCCTTCTCTCTGTGCCACACGCTCACCCCAAACCCTCGTGTCCCATCTCCCTCCTTCATCACCCTGCTCCCTGCGCCCTGCCCCCGGTGTTCCACTGTCCCCCTGTTCTCTAATGTGTATCCCCCCCCTAACTATCAACGTGGACCCCGTGGCTTCGTCTCCCGCTCCTTCGCCTCCTTAACCTCTTCTCCCTACCCCCGTGTCTCCTTCCTCCCTCGTGTCGCCCGCGTCACCGTTCACATATCCATGCCCCCTTTTCCACGTGCCGCCCTCACCCTAACCACCCTCTTCCACTCCGCCCCCTCACCCGTGCCCTCTGCTCGCGAGAAGGCGCCGTGGTGCTCAGCTTCTTCGTGTGCTACTCGCCGGACACTATCGCGTCGCTCATGTACATATACATCGCGGACTGGAACAACCCCACGGTGCACCGCGTCTACACCATCGTCAAGATGTACCTGGCGCTGCCGCTCTGGTACCTCAACTCGGCCCTCGACCCGCTGCTCTTCAGCATCTCGTCCAAGCAGTTCCGCCGCGCCTGCAAGGAGACGCTGTGGCCCGCGAGGGCCCGACGGGAACGCGCCGCCTCGGGGTCGCGGCGCGGCGCCGACGCTGCCGCACGCGGCGGATTCCCGAGTCGCACGGTCACCTCCACGGAGGTGACCACCTCCAGACGGGAGACTGAGCGCCGAGCCGCGACCACCATCAGGAGCCGCCTGGCCGAGTGACGGTGATGATGGTGGTGATGAGTGATAGATAACTCCCGGACGCAATCTCATTGCGTTCAACAGGGGGCTCCCCAAAGCTTATACGGGGTGATCTTGGCAATTGCATCTGGTAAGCCAGAAGCATTTTGTTTAGACAAGCGCATGTTTCCTTGCGAAAACAAATGATGCTTGAAAATATTAATGGCATTGATCTGGAAACACCAAAAATATAATATGCCGATGGAATAAAACATTTTATCTTTATAAGCTGCGACACCGATTGGAGTTTTGCTCATGTGATAAATATGCAGATTAATGATTATAATTAGACTCTCCACACATTCGTCAATTACGCTGAGGGTGGCCTTAAAATTCTAAATATAATCTAATAAACGATTCGCGTGCTGTAAAGATGGGTTATGTAATTATGATTTATTATAAGAATAAACAGTTTTCTGTAGCGCCAATCACAGAATGCCTCAAAGCGCTGTACATGAAGCTTAATTGATGGAGAAAGTCAGCTGTAAAAAACACGTGGGATTTAAGACGCAATTTAAAAGTGTAATAGACTCAGATTCCCTAACGGACTGAGGAGGAAGGCAATTCCACAATCGCAGAGCCTGGCTGCAAAAATCTCTGTCTCCCATCGAACAAAGTCTCTGGTCTTTGGAATACCGTAATTAGTTTAGACCACAATCAGCAAATCCAAGTTTTCTCAGTGGAATATATTAAACTTAAGCAGATCAGTGGTGAGATATTTAGGAGCCAACCCATGCAAGGCCTTAAACGAGAGAAGAATACGCCTACAGTGGATGCTGTTAGATTATCTTTCCTCCCTGCCAGTGCGGGGAGGAAAGAATAGAAGTAATACGGTCACATGATTTAAATCTGGTGGTTTTATAAAATTATTTTTGTTTCATTTTTAAGGCCACACAGTGACATTGACGTATGTGTAAAGTTTTTGTTGTTTGTGGACCACTGCCAACGCAGCAGCACCACCATCATCACCAAGTGGCGCGTTTGCTGTAGCTGATGGTGATGAAGGTTGTGTGGCCAGGCATGAGCCACATTTGCCGTCTCAAGACGGTGATGTTTGGTCCATTCCACGAATGATTGTTTGGCTTAGAGTTGAAGGAAACAGCAGAACCCATTGGGACTTTGGGATAATTCCTCAATAAATACTAATATTAATATAATATTATTGCCACTTCTTGTCCCCCCCCCTAAGATATCCTCACCGAGTCTCAAGCCTCGTATTCTGGAGGGTCCTGCGTTGGGATGTTTGGGCGAATTAATAACGGCAATAGAGCCACGAGCGGATCACTGGCTTCGCATGGGAGAACCCCGCAGTTCCCCGAGAAAACTCACCACGCATAGGAGGTAAAAACCCAAAGCTCCTCACAGATAGATTCGATAATCCATTGCTGTACTGCTATCGTCTGGCTGCAACCTCACAAAGTCGCAATTTCGTGATCGCTCACTCAAAAACGAACCAGCACTCACCAACGCACACTCGCCAACTCGCTCACCAATACACGAACACTTCACTACTAACCTCCTCACTCACCAATACACGAGCACTTCACTACTAACCTCCTCACTTACCAAATCAGCAACTCACCAACATACACACACACACACCGACCCACACACACTCTCCAATTCATTCACTAACCTCACTCACCAACTCACTCACCAATACAAAGCACTCACCATTACACGAAGGCTAACAATCGCTCACTCACTCGGAGTCGCAGTTGAACCCCGGGCCGGGCGGGTCACGTGTGACGAAGCGGCCACACCTGTGCGTGGGTCACCTAATGGGTCACGTGCGCATGAGTTACCTGTGTGAGCACTGCATGGTACCTGTGTGAGTTATATATGGGCACCTGTGAGCTGTATGGGTACCTGTATGAGCTGTGTATGGGTACCTGTGTGAGCTATATATGGTAACGTGTGAGTTATGTATTGATACCTATGTGAGCATTGTATGGGTTACCTGTCTGAGCTATGTATGGGTAACCACGTGAGCTATATATGGGTGCCTATTTAAGCTTTGTATAGGTTACCTGTGTGCGTTATATAGGGTGTTTCAAAAAGATGGACCCGATTTGAAATCGCTACGTCTCTGCAACCACGAACCGCCCATGAGTGAAACTCTTACCACTTGAAAGGGCGGCGCATAAAGTTTCAAATTATTACCGCGAGATGCCTCTCCCAGCGCACAAACAGCCCCGAGCCTCAGTCATTCGCAAGATTACAACCCCGCAACACAAAGGCGTTTCGCGTTCTGCAGCTCAGCAAGACTGAATCCGTAATTGCGGTGCAGCGTGCGTTTCAACGGCGTTTTGGCATTGATCCGCCAATGTCAGAGCATTCGTCATTGGTACCGACAATTTGAGGACACGGGCTGCTGTTTATGTAACGGGAAGAGCACAGGGCGACCACGCACCTCAGAGGGAAACGTGAGAAGAAAGGCGTTTGGGACGAATTCAACTATCGTCTCGATGTTGTCCGTACAGCAGGTGGAGGGCACATAGAGCATTTATAAATGGTTAGTAAAACGTAATAACTCATTAAACCGTTTGTAACTTTTTGTGTAATTGTAACATGTTGCCGTCGTGAAATATACTGCTTTGAAATTGGGTCCCTCTTTTTAAAACACCCTGTAGATTACTTGTCCTGGTTGGGGATTGACTCAGCCCATAATCTTACCGGGGTCGATAAAGTTGGTACCACTTTGTGGGAAAGGCAACAGTGGTTGTCCTATGGATATACTCGCCCCCACCATATGAATGTGGAATTTGTACCACTGGTTCAAGGCTGTGAACGGAAGATGAACACCGCCTTCATGCTCACTTGAGCAGCAGGAGATCGCTTTGGCTTTATGTATGAGTTATGTATCGATTATTACCTGTGCCTGGGTCACCTTATGGGTCACCTGTGTAAACGATGGGTCGCCTGTGTGAGTTACGTGTGGTTACCTGTGGGTTGTGTTTTGGGTGACCTGGTTAAATTCGTAAAATGTTTTTTTTTCTGTTTTTAAATAGTTTTAGTTTACCTTGATAACCCCTTGAGGTATATATGGGTTACATGCATGTAACCTACTGATCTGTGTATCGCCTGCATGTAGGTTACCCACTGGGTTACCTGTGTGAAGGTTACCTGCGTCAATTAAAATGGGTTACCTGCGCGTGACCCTACTGATCTGTGTATCGCCTGCGTGTAGGTTACCCGCTGGGTTACCTCAGTGGGTTACCATCCCCCTCCTCCCCGTGTTCGCATGGCCTCGGCTCGAGTCCGCGTCACGCGGGGCTGGGTCTCGTCGACTCAAACTCAGTAAACGCGGCCTCGTCTCGCGCTCTGCCGCTCCACTCCACGAACTGGACAGCGTGCGGGTGGCCTCCCACGACCATTACGAGATTCATCATTAATTGTAACAACTGAAGTGTATTAATTGTAACAACTAAAGTTTATTAAGCCGGCGCGACCAACAATTACCTAATCTCTGCGATCCTCTATATATGAAGGTGCAATCGGCCAATGAATCGGGGTTTACACGTGGGCGTTAACCGGAGCACCCAGTGGAAACCCACGCGCACTGGGGAGGGGAACACTCCATCCCGTACAGACGGAACAGGTGGAGTCCACATTGTTTGCAGTCCCGCCTTTCCCTGGCAAGGGAAGGGAGTTTCACTCCATTCGTGCGGTGATCCACCATTCCTCGCCTCCACACTGCTGGAGCATAGCGGCAGTGGTTAGGCCTGATTAAAACTGTCCGCCCGGGTGGCAGAGCCATTCCCTGAGATGGGCAAAAACGAGAGAGAGAGAGAGATGATGGCGATATTAGGGGATATGGATGTGTTAGTGGGCATCTGTGGGTGGAGAGGGGGGTGTGTGGACAGGGGGTCAATGAGTAGGAGAGTCAGAGAGGAATAGGAAACAGTTGGGTAGGTATGTGGCGGCCGAGAAGAGGGCTAAGATGAGAACTAGCAGTGGTGGGCTACTGCTGGGAGCGCACCATCTCAGGCTTCACTTCTCCAGCCACCACCGCACCCTTCGCCTTCCCCTCCTCCACCATATCACGCCACGCCACGCGGAGCTATCAATCCTCATCGGGTGCCGAGTGATCGGCGCGAACGGTGAAGGATCCTCGCGAGCGAGAGGAGCAAAATGAGACGAATGAACGCTCTTAGCCATGCAGTGCACGGACACAGGGAGAAGGAGAGAGAGAGCGAGAGAGTGCGAGCGCCATCACTTCCCACGTCCGTATTCATCATAAGGCGCAGCAGCCGCTGTCGTTTTCCAACATCGCCCCCCTAATTGCGCATTAGTCTAAATCAGCAAACACTCCGGGTTCAGTTTGCCGTTCCCTCTCTCTGCTCACTGCCAGGGCAGGGATTTAGCTGGGGGGCAGCAGGGGGGAGGGGAGGCAGACTGGGAATTTATTCACGGGCCAAAACTCTAGAGGGGTCACGGATGAAAGCACGTTACATTTGTTATTATTAAGACAAGTGAGGCTGTGTGTTCATCTTCTTTAGTCATCAGCCCAATTTCAGGTTCTTAGAAATACGATCACAAACCCCCTCGTGTTCATTGCCGGCCTTCATCGGTGTTCGCTAACAGCACTTGCCCCAACAGTCTGTTGCAGCCTTTATGGGGATCTTTGTCAAAATGGTAGAGGAAGGGGGGGGGGGGGGTCTTAACTCTGTCTATTGTCCCGGGGACAGAGATAACCAAACGACCCAGGTCTGCCCACAGCCACAAACACGAATCCAGTGGCAACAACCTCCCAGCCGGGGGGCCACGGATTCACTCTCCCACGAGCACGTGAGACACACGGCGACTCAAGCAGTCTGGACCACGAGAGCCGCCATCACCAACACTAGCCACCACGTATATATATTGAACTTCTTTCGCGCCGTACGTAGCCAACCGTGCTAACGATGCTGCTGGACAATGACATCCCCCATTGCACCAACGGCTCCCACATAAAACACATACCAATCGACGATAATCTATTTGAACGTGCACTATTTGACACACGTATGGTGAGCATGGTATTCGTGTATACATGGCATGACCAATGATTCTTGCTGTAGTCAAAGGCATTTGATTGAAGCTGGAAGAAACCGATGAGCCATGAAGCTCTTTCTCAGTGTCCAACCCAAGTCACCAACGCATATCACTGTGTACAATTCACAGCACCTCTGTGGTGATATCAACAGCGTCCACATCATGGATATCATGGCCTTCGCCCTCGACAGGGGATTGTAGAATCTCTGCTTTGGCTTTGACGTGGATCAGAGAGACGGTGGGTGCTGTCCACGTGCCACCTTTATAAAGGCTTGCAGTTCCTGAGGCTCGAATGGGACACTTGGGAGTGAGCTGCCAGCCCCGCACCCTACACAGGTAGCCCCGCCCCTACATAGATAGCCCCGCCCACGACTCACGTAGCCCCGCCCTTTGTCAGTAGCTTGCGTTGAGCACGGAGCTGAACATTTTTTCCAGCTGGGTCAAAAAAAAAATCCCGATTTTCACAAATACGTTCCAAACGTTCATTTTGTTTTAACTAGGCGAGACCTGGAGAGACCAGGGCCTCGCCTCATTTTCAAGAATGGTCTGGCTCAACAACATTATCAAGGAAAACAAAATAAACCAATATAACTAATATCACTAATTTTATGCTATTTCTACATACGTGACTTTACCGAAAAAAAACAATGAGTAATTTATGCAGTCACGAAAGCTTTAATTCTTTATTAAACCAATATAAATTACAGCGACGAATCAAAGTGAAATCAGGGCAAAACCAAGGAGAGCCCTTGTTTTGAAACCAGCGGGACTGCCCCAAAGCAGGCAGGAGGACCGTCACGGCAAAACCAGGACGCGTGGTGGCAGCCGTACAGGATTCTGAACATCGCGCGTGGCCTGATTTACATGTGAATGGAGGGATTAGGGAACATGCTGAACACGCGAGGTCCCGGGGGGGGGGGGGGGGGTGTGCACAAAGCCTGATGGGCCTGGTTCATTCATTCACGCGGTTCTCGTTCAACAGCCGCGAGGTCACCCAAGCGCTCAATGTCACCACCCGAGCGCTGCACGGCCGGCCTGTTGTTCTGCATCCTCCTCCTCGTCGTCGTCGTCGTCATCACCCCTCCTTGGTATCGAGGCTATTGACTCTCGCTAATGGAACATATTTATGTCGATAGCTTTTTTCCATTAGAAGTGTGGGGGGGGGTGGGGAGGAAATTATTCCGCGCGTGAAAATTGAACATATTTATTCTTATTACCCATTACTGCGAGACAAAGGCATTCATTAAAAAAATAAAAATATACAGTATATTCATTTATATGAATACGTGTGCGCTGTTTGTGAGTCGGATACTTGTGATGAATTTTGCAAATACCTCTTTTTGTAAACTGCATAAACATCTCTCTGTGTTGCGATGCAAAATATCTATACGGCGCCTGCACACGGATCTCTCCATCCGCGGCAGTAGAAATTCCCTCAGACGTGCCTTTTGGCTGCCACTCCGTCATTTGTCTCGACCACTATCACCTCTACCAGTTTGACGTATCCTGCCCAAGCCCACTCACTACTCTTCTTCGGAGTCAACGTTATGTGCCAAGTTTTCATCAACGGATACAATTATTTTACCAGGTAAGGCCCCACTGACCTATGCATCTCTTTTTCAGAAACTGGCCACAAATTATATCTCAGAAACGAACTGGCATAACTCGTATCAACACCATCAAGTCAATATAAGGCTTCACCAGAGCAGACATCACGACTGCTTTGTACATGCCCCTTTTTGTCAATCCACTGCTGGATGAGTGCCTTTCCATACCGTGTGGGTTACACTTCACTCATTCCTCACCACGCTGGCCACCTCAGGTTGGCGAAGGCAGGAAACAAACACGGCAGCACAGACGTTAGAGTACAACAAACGGGTTATTTGGCACTGCCCTTTGCTGTCCACAACATAGATGACACCTGTCATGAATGGCAGTCACCCACTCAAGCACTAAGCTCAACCTTGCTTAGAGATCTCGTAACGTTCTGCAGAATCCAGAAGATTCGGTCATGGACAAAAATAATGGCAAAATATTAAATGTTTATTCACACTTATTAAACAAGGCATTAAAAGACTACGCAACTATGCACTGCATTGGTTGTACAATAAACACAAACATTAACATGTAAACACACACAAACAAATAACTCCGTACAGTCCAATAGACTGTTGGGGTGAGCACCAATGAAGTCTGCTTGATATTCAAATACTCATTTAAGGTTGATGCACCGAGAGGATGCCCAGGGTCCATGGATTGGTTCAGAATTCCACACGCCATCGAAGTTATCCATGGCCAAGATGAGAACTATGGTTGCGGGGTTCGTAGCGTAGTACTGGAGCAACCGCCCCACCACACCACGGACACAAGACAAAGATCCCCCGTGTAGCCGTTCACAGATGATTGGAGCAAGTGCTGTTAACGAGCACCTATTAAATCAGGCACGGTGCTCACGTAGGTGGTAGTCACCAGCATGCCCAGCCTCCTTCGTCTCTCCAGTGCTAATGCATACACACGAAATTGGGTACTCATTTAAGGCTGAGTAAACCTAGGGAAGTCTCTGGACCGGTTCTGATATCACTTCGCTACCGATATTATTCGTGGCAGGGTTCGGACTGCAGTGTGCTAACCACTAACGCCACCACTCTCTCTCGAGTACAAAGACAACAAAACAAAGATCCCCCGTGCACCCCTTTACAAAGTGTTATGGCGAGAGTTGCTCGCGAGCACCGAAGAAGGCCGGTACGACGCACCACGGGATGGGTGGCCAGAAACACGTCCGGCCGCATTTGCCTCCTCAGTCCCCGATGTTTTTTCACATCGCACCAGTATCTCATTTTGAGGCCGAGTCGATCCAGGACCAGGTCAGACAATCGTCACTGGTGTTGGCCGTGAGCGGGAATCCAATTCTGGTCGTAGCGCAGCGCGCTAACCGCTGTGCCACCGCTCCCCTGCACCTACACATGTACAAAGATGCTCCCGTAAAACCTTGACAGACTGGTGGCGATGTTTACACACCACACCAGGTACTTATTTTAGGCTGGGTCGACCTAGGGGAGGCCTAGGATTGGTAGAGATCATCGTTACCCGTGCTGGTGGCAGGAATCGAACTAAACTATTCAACAATCTTTTTTTTATTTTACCAAAATAGGCCCACGTAGCTACCCAACTCTTTTTTCAGAAGCGACCTGGCCACAATCGATAGCTCAACAAAGTGGCTTATCATGTGGTAGTGCAGCGTGCTAACTGCTGCACAACCGCTCCAGGCACACTTACACACGCACATTAATACCCCCCCCCCCACCCACAATCGAATGCCCCACACACGAGGGGGAATTGTCTCCACAAAGGCAGCTCAGCACACTTGACACGGGATTGAGGAACGCGACCTTGAGCCACCGAACATCCGCGTTGCGCGATATTTTTATCCCAACGATGAACACGACCGACGCTCGCGCTCTTAAACGGCACTCTTGGTCACTCAACTCCCCCCGCCCCCTCTCACGTAGATTTCTTCCTCTCATCCCCTAAACCCCCTCGGCACCCCCCCCCCCCCCCCCCCCACCGGACGTGCCTGGCACACGAGAGCCACCGCTCTAAAGTTGCCGCCACCTTCGCGTCACCGACGCGATCGGAGGTGACCTCGCTACGTGCAGCAACAACAAACATCAACAGCCGCCATTCACCACTAAGTGGCGGTGACGTCGCCACGGTGCTTGTGCCATGCTAGGTGCACGTGTACACACATTGACAACAAAGACTTTGATACCCCGCGTACAGCCGTTAACAGTCTGCTGGTGCAAGTGTTGTTAGCGAGCACCCATTTTAAGGCGGACAAAGCACGTGCGGGGGAGAGGGGGGAATGAGTGGCCAGCACAACGCCCGGCCGCCTGAGTCTCCCCATTGTTCTCATTTTAAGGCTGAGTCTACCTAACTGAGGCCCAGCATCGGTTTAGATGACCATCACCGGTGTCGGCCGAGAATGGGAACGGAACCCGGGTCGGCGGGTCGAAGCACAACGCGCTAACCGGTGCGCCACCACTCCCCACTCACAGATACGCATGCACCGTAACTGCAGCACGCAAGTGCACATCCACAGGATCCCTCCTGCACATCACTCGAATGGAGCGTGTGCCCCACCTGGCCTTTATACACCGGCGGCCATTGGAACTCAAAACAGCACGAGTGATGATTTTTTTCTCCCCACCTCGACGTCTCGTGCTGTGAATCTCAAAAGAGGACGTTTTAGACTTGATGTTTTTGGATACAACCAGCCACTGGGCCTACCACTGCTGGCGTGGAAGCCACAGCCACCGGGCGGTGCTGGGGGATTAAGATGAAGGCTCGGCAAGGGAAATTAGGAAGGAGTTGGAATGGGGTTCATAAGTCGGGGGGTGGGTAGGCAAGGTTTTAAGTTAGGAATGCGGTTGGGTGCTGAGACTGGAGTTTAGGCTCAGGTGGTTAAATGGATGTTAATTTGGGGTTCAAGGTGAGTCTGGCATCAGGTTGCGTTTGGATTTATTTGTTATGGAATTAGGATTAGGGACGGTGTGAGTCCAGAGGCAAGGCGGGAGTTAAGCGTTGGTTTAGGGGTTGCAGTTTTAGATTGTGACTTGCTGACCCTCTGACCGTACTGGACGTCTGTGAAAAAGAGCTTCATTGGATTACTCCAATCTAAATAGAGATTCCGATTCTGAGACTAAGGTCAAGGGATGTAGGTTTAGCTCGCAGTGCAGGTCATTGTAAAGCCAGGAGTTGTCTGCTGGTGGTAGCGATGCCGACCGGCGTGGAGGAGCCGTGATGAGATGTGGTCCAGCGGCGGGGACGGCGATCGCCGTCAGCCGAGGTCCGGAATCTTCATTTCGTGAGCTCCCGGTGGCAGATCCAGAATGTGGACGATGGGCGGGAATGGTCAAGGGTCACACACACACATGGCTCGGCCGGCAGGATTGCTTGAATCTCTGATCAATACGAGCAAAGCAGTGACCCTGCTTAATTGCTGTGTAATCGTTCTCAATTGTTTTTCGATTTTAATTTATTTGTACCTCAATGTTATTCTGATTGCGCCATCGGTGTTAAGTCACGGGATGCAGTATCTATTTGAATCTCTCTGCGAGAATTTGCGAACGACCCACGTAACCGGATGTCACAGAGCCATATCCGAGATCCCTTGAACCGACATCTGGTCCACAGTGGAGGGGACAGCAATTTCACACCGGCCCCTCTACATGATTAATGTTCGTCACGTGAGAAGTCAATATTTTTACATATATATAATTGTCAATAAGGGAATCCCACCAATTTAAATGCAGAAACCAACTTAACTTGATGTTTTTCCCATCACTGCGCTAGGACCTTTGACTCGCAAGACTTGAGAACTTGATTTAATCACAGGCAGCTGTCTGGATTTCGAACAGAGAATCTCAGCGGTAAGATCTCAAAACTCAGTCCTCCTGGTCACCCACCAACCTCTCATTATTTCGACTGTGAATACAAAGATCCCCCGTATAGCCTGTAACAGATTGCTGGACAAAGGGTGGGTGGCCAGCACCACGCCCGACCGCCTTTGTCTCTCTAGTGGTGATGTTTACACACCGCACCAGGTACTCATTTGAGGCTGAGTCAATTTAGAGGAGGCCGAGGAATAGTTCAGATAATCGTCACCGGTGTTGGTGGACGTGAGCGGGAATCGAACTCAGGCCAACGGGTTCGTAGCACTGCGCTCTAACCGCTCTACTGTGCAGACAACCACACACAATCACACAAATCATCACACACCCCCACCCGTGTTTGCATTGTGCTGCAAAGTAAAGGGAAGGGTGAGTCACCACCATGCATCACGCTGCAGCTCCCCCACACTCCCGTGTGCTCAAAGCAGGACACGGCCACGGAAAAGAAACAGCTCTTATTTTTGCAGCTACGCACCGACATTAGTTTGAAGCGTTATTAATGTGAACAGGCATTTAACGTGATGGCCGGAGTGCTGTCGTAAAATGTCATCGCAGTGTCATGTATTAGAAAGTACAGGAGTGATGTTACTATGTCATGAGAGCATGTGACTGTAACTTTAAAGTATTTTTATTCCTATTATTATCAAAGCTTCAAACTCGAGTCAAATAGACTGGGACCCACACATACCTACAAGATTAGAATGATTAGGTTTTTGGCCTGCATATTTTTCGGGAGTACACAAGCCTGCACAGAAGATTCTTGAATCCATCTTTGTCGAGCTATGAGTGTTATGTCATCGTGTGCGTGTGTTCTGTGGGTAGTCCGGTTTCCTTCCCCACATTAAACCAATCACTCAACGAATTAGCAATATCTCCCGACTGCAGGATTCTCCTGCACGTGTTAGGAGTCAGTGAGGCGATGTTAAACATGGACATCTTCATCATTGTTTTTCAATGCACCAATCCACATAAAAGACAAGCTCCCTACCGCATGCATTATACACGAGCCCCTGCTTGGGGAAGCTTCCATTTTCCTCCAGGTCAAAATTTTTAACGAGTGTCCTGGGAATTTTTTTTTTACTTGATGACCCACACAATCTCACAGCCCAGAGGCTCGGCTTTTGTTGACAGTGTGGCGGATTAAGCGTCTGAAGTGAGGAGCGAATTCCTACGTCCATTGCGAGGTCATCCACGGTGGGGGTGAGGAAGGTGGGAAGCTAGAATGGGTAATATAAGAAATATATACAAACCACACACACACACATAAACGTGTTACCAACCTTTCCTAGGACCACCCCTCGATCCTCCTGTAACCCGAGCGCTCGAGGCAAAGCGGGAGCGGCCAGATGGAGGATATCATTCCCTGCGTGGCCATGTGGTCGATGAGCGCGGCGAGCGGCGTGTACAGCTTCAGCGTGGGGAGGCAGCCGAGGAGCAGGAGCTTGTGCTTGGCCCTCGTGACGGCGACGTTCAGCCGACGTCGGTCCTTCAGCAGCTCCCCCAGCTGCGCGGGCAGGGCACAGAGACAAAGGCAAAGACTTTTTGGGCAAGTGCTGATAGCGAGCACCGATGAAGGCCGGCACGGGACACGAGGGGGTGGGTGGCCAGCACGACGCAGGGGAGAGAGAACACGCACAGATGGGCACGAGAAAACACATGGGACATGCGGGAACGAGATACAAATCGTCCTTATAGCCGACACAGGCTGTTAGGAGAAGTGCCGTTAGCAAGCACCTATGAAGGCCGGCAAGGCACGTGTGGGTGTGGCCAGCACCACGCTCGACCGTATTTGTCATCCCCTCAGCGCTGATGTTTACACACAACGGTACACACAACGGAACGCACGTATAAAGAGGCGATACACACAATACAGGCAGGCCAGGCGCAGAGAATCGTTTCAGATAATCGTTCCCGATGTTGGCCATGCGCGGGAATCTAACTCGGGGTCGCCGGGTTCGTAGCGCAGCGGTGCTAACCTTTGCACCGCCGCTCCCCAAATGCCACTACATTACAGGCGCGTGTGCGCACACACGTGCACTACGAGCGAGCTTGCTGCGAGCGTGAATCCTCTCTCGGCTCAGGGTCAATCGGGAGCAGCAGCTGTGAATAATGATAACGAGAGTGGAGTCGCCGTGTGCGGAGGGCTACCTGTCGACGCACGATGCCGGCCGTTGCGCAGGTCCGCACGAAGCCCACGATGATGACGGGTTTGTCACGGCCCTGGTACTTGTCCACCGTGTTGATCTCCAACCCAGCGAGTGCCGCCGCCGGACACGGCAGGGCCGCCAGCGCCGCCGACACCGCCCCCAGCTGCTGCCGGTACGGAGAGATGATCCCCACGTCCTTCGTGCGGCAGCCGGCCTGAAACACGGCACGGTACGGCGGCATAATTATTATTGTTGTTGTGAACGACAACCGGGAACAAAACGCCGTGTGGAACTAGAATAGAACTGGAACGGAACAGAACAGAATATTCACCCTATGCAAACCTATGAACGCACAAGGAACCTCTGAGTGTCCGGCATTAAATGTAGGTGGGCCTAAATCCCCTTCTGTCTGCGGAACCAAGAAAATTGCGTGTGAGAATCTAGGGAGCTAAAACTACAGCTGACAAATTCTAGAAACGTTGCTAAAAAAGTAAACAAATTAAGACTTAATTTAGAGCGTTATAGTTGCACATGGCACAGAATAAGAATTGGAGCTAATTCATTATTCTAGAACTGAAATCACACACGAGAGAGAGGATGGCCCTGTTCCGTTTAAATGCAAATGTCTCCACCACCGAGTAATAAACGCAACCGGACAGCGGGTGAGGGGGGTGAGGAGGGAGGGTTAGGTAGGCAATGCTGTGGTTTGCTCACCTTGATGAGAGACACAGCGATGATGGCGATTAGCTGAGCCTCCGTTGGGTTCTTCACACCACCCTGGTCCACCATCTCCTCAGCCGGGACCTGCGGTGGCGTGAGATTGACGCGTCACCACGCCGCATTTACGTTGGGTGATGTACCGCCAGAATGATCATTGTCAAACACATTAGTTTAAACCAGCAAACACAGGGGCTTTAATACTGGCTCCGTCTTCCTCCCTCCCGTTCTAAATAGAGTATCTTTTTATTTACTTTTGTTTCTTTACCAGGTAAGGCCCACTGAGCTATGTAGATCTTTTTCAGAAACGACCTCGCTATCACAAATGACAGCTCAACGTAGTGGCTTATCACGTGCAAATGTATTGCAGCCAAATACTCGAGACGCATGTTTCGAAATGCGGAGGGAAAAACCGGAGGACCCGTACAAAAATCCACGTGACCACGGGGAGAACATGCAAACCCCATATATACAGGCGTCAGGGTCGGGATCGAACCCACAACCTCCTGCATACCTGGCGAAGTATTTAACATCTCGCCGAGTGAGAGAGACAGGCAAACAGACAGGAGAAAGTCCTGATAACCATATAGACAAACTACAACAGGGCTATCCAGGCACCACGTCTCCTTAAAAGCAAAAACCCAGTCTGACCCCAGCTGATCTCCTCTCTCCCAGACAAACTCTCATGTCCCCAAGAACCCCGGCAACCTTCTCTGTGTTCAGGAAGAGAACCGGGCGGTCGGGGTCCAAGGCTTGTGTCAGCCACGGGTGGTTGCCGCCGCCCATTCCGTCCAGGAAGGCGGGGAGCCCCGGCAGGGAGAGGCGGCACGTGGACACGCGTTCCGAGCCACACGCCAGCAGCCCTCCGTACGTCAGCACGTTGCTCAGGGACATGATCTCACTGCGAGACACGGGGAACGATCGTCGCCGTGGTCGTCATCACTGGCCGTGGTTCAAGACACAGACAGATGAACGCCTCCCGCAAGTTTTCTCCAACTCGCAAGGTCTCGCGATGCAGCCAATATCGTCGCTTCATCTCCGCGGCAGACGTCCTCTCGGGCGTGCTCCTCCCTTTCGCTGCCTTTCCGTCGTCAATTTCGACCACCGAAACATTCTTTTTATCGGCCGTGTCTTAAACAGTCCCACTTACTCTCCTTGAAGTCAAGATTGTCGTTGCTCACAGCGCAATTCCAAACATGCACCGCGAGAGCACAGGACTGGTCCGAACACTCCACACGCTCAACATCGCCCGCGTGCCTCCCGTGCACTACCCACTTCCTGCAGCCCAGTACCGCCACTGCGTGTTCATCGGGTGAGAGTAAGGCCTGGGTGAGGATGAATACATTTCTAATTTACGTGTCTTTGTCATCACTCCATATTCGTTGTTGGGGATCGTCTGACCCAATTTCACCACCCAGTTAAGTGGGGGTTGGCGAGGGAGGTGCCTCAAGCCGGTTCGAAATATCACTCGCCACTGATGTTAGTAATGACCAGGGATTGAACTCAGGTCCACCGGGTTCATAGCGCAGTGTAAAACAGCATATATGAATGGAGAATCATTGATTCTTAAGCAGACACACACAATTCGATGGGTGTATCGTGAGCTTAAGAATCAATATTAGTCAATAAATTGATGCATCCGTTAAACCCCTCAAATACAAAGACCCCCATTACAGCTTTTAACAAACTGTTGGGGAAAGTACTGTTCAGGAGCACCTATGAAGGCTGGCTCGGCACATGCCTTTGTCTCCCTAGTGGCGATGTTTACACACCGAACAAGGTACTCGTTTGAGGTTGAGTCGACCTAGGGGAGGCTCAGGACCAGTTCAGATAATCGTCACTGGTGTTGGTGGACGTGAGTGAGAATCGAACTTGGGCTGCCGAGTTCGTAGCGCAGCACACACAAAAAAAGACAAAGATCCTCCATATAGCTTTAACAGACTGTAGGGGCAAGTGCTGTTAGCGAGCACCTATGAAGGCCGGAACAGTACACGAGGGGGTGGGTGATCAGTACCATGCCCGACCGCCTTTGTCTCCCCAGTGGCAATGTTTACACATCGTAGAAGGTACTCATTTGAGGCTGAGTCGACATAGGGGAGAGGCCCAGGACCGGTTCAGATAATCGTCACTGGTGTTGGTGGACGTGAGCGGGAATCGAACCCGGGACGCCGGGTTCATGGCGCAGCACACACGCACAAACTCACACACACCCACACAGATCACACCCTCCCTCCACACACGCCTCATATTGCCCACGTCCACTCTCCACACACGCAGCGCCCTCACCACAACACGATCGCTCCCCCACACTTAAACACGCACACACATTATAGACAGATGACCTTTATAATGAGGTAATGGCTCATTGTGAGTAGAAGTCTCTGTCTCAAGGGAGACCCGAGTTAAAATCGATACGGCAAAACAAACTGCAACACAAATTGTAAATATTAAATAAATAATGTGCATCATCGTCAATCGTGTTCAATTCACTGGTGGTTGAAGGCCACCACCCCAAGCTGTCACCATCTCTCAAGGCCCTGCGATATGAAAATCCATCTTGCACTTGCACTGGAGCTGATTTGCTTGCACCATCTTCGTTGCGGACGTACGCAAGTAATAAGTAAAAACCAAACATAAAAATAAAGAGTCTTTCTTGAAGCTAGTCAGAGCTGCGGCGCACTGTCATGCCTGGCACAGACGCACTGCAACCCAGCTCGGCTGTGACGTTGTTAGTTTGCATCACTTCCACACGCACTGCAACCCCGCTCGGCTGTGACGGTGTTAGTTTGCATCACTTCCAGCGCTGGCGTGGCACACATGCAGAGCAAGACGAGGGATATGAATCTTTAACCTGTCACTCAGGTATGATGGATTGTGTGATGAGCTGGTTAGTCTGTTCATGAATGAAAATGACGCGAAAATTTATCGATTGCTTACGCTTTAAACAATTCGCATTTGTAAAAATCACCGCAAATTGACTCCCTAACCGGGTTGTGAAACCTAAGAGCAATGGAGCAGAGCCGATGGTGAGCGGATGTGGGTGTGAGTGTGCAGCACCCCCGCACCTGTTCATGCGGTATTGCAGGTTGAGATAGACCACAGCCTCCGCGTGGCACTCCAGACGCTTGAAGAGAGACTCGTCCATGCCCATGGCCCTGCGAGACGGCACCGCAGCGCGCGCAGAGATACCTTGCCACGTGTGTAGCGACGCGTTGCCACGCACGGCACACATGGAGGTATATCACTCCGCGCCCGCTCGTGTAGGGTCGTCAAGCCACAAGGTGCACGTGCCCTCCCGCACACACACACACACACGCGCGTACAAACCTACCCACGCACGCACGTACGGCGGGAGAGCACAGCGCTACGCTCTCGCGTGCCACACCAGCTCGTGCAGTCCGGTGCAAGCACACGCGCACCCTGAATGCACACGCAAAAACCAGCACGCCTTCGTCTACACACACCCACGCAGCAACCCACGCAGGCAGGCACCTGGCGCGGGAGTTGAGCACGAGCGGTGGCAGCTGGTGGTGGTCTCCGACGAGCACGAAGCGCGACGCGTGCAGCAGCAGGCCCAGGCACACGGGCTGCCCGATCTGCGACGCCTCGTCCACAATGCAGAAGTCGAAGACGCGGCGCGAGAAGATCGGGTGGCGCAGGCCCATGCACGTGGTGGCCACCACACGCTGCAGCGCACACCACGGGCACGCAGCACGCCGCACGCAACATCACACACACCGCCGTCCGTCACCCCCCAGGGACTTGACATTCACTCCATCCTTCCACTCGAGTCATTAATCAAATATCCTTTTTATTGTGACGACTGAACCGAACGGCACACGCGCGAACGACTAAACAGCACTGCGCGTTTCGTCCTGATGTGATTGGTCAGCCGCGGCCATTGCAGAGCACCAGCGGCAGGGCTCGTCGGTCGCTCTGCGGTACGGTCCAGTTTCTCACGGACACGAAGAAACACGCACGGGGCTGGACCTCATCGACCAAGCGCCCCAGCTACATCCCTCAGCACGGAGTACTCCAGGGCAGTTCCTCCCGCCCAAGTACTGAACCGTGCTCAACTTCGCTTGACATCCGAGAAGCGGCGACGAGATCGGTCGGCCACGCCGGGCGATCTGCCGAGGAAGGCTACGCATCGGCCAAAGTTGAACGCCGAGCTCGGGGCCGCCTCACCTGTCCCTCGTAGAGCTGCTGGAGCTGCTCGGGGGTGCGCACGTCGTGCTGCCGGCACAGCTCCTCCTCGGTGAAAGCGTGCACGCCGGCGTGAACCTTGGCCGGCCGGCCCAGCCGCAGGAAGGGCACGCGGTGCGGCACGAGCTTGAGCAGGATGTTGTCGACGGCCGAGTGCGTGTAGCTCGTGAGCAGCACGCTGTGGCCGCACGCGTGCAGGATGCGCACCTGCACGCGTGCCCGCGGTTTTGGGGGGGAGGGGCGGTGGGGGGGCACACACGGCGCGACCTCGATGTGATCGTCGCCAGCCCAGGCCGCTACGCCAAGGGTGGGGGGGAAGTGAAGTTGTGGGCCACGAAACGAGCCCGCGAATCGATTTCACCCGGCCCCTTTGAAAACAGCCTACAGATGCTATGATAAACTAAACTATAACTTTTCTTTTGATCAGGTAAGGCCCACTGAGCTATATATCTCTTTTTCAGAAGCGACATGGCCACAAATGATAGCTCAACGAAGTGGCTGATCACATGGAAATGTCTAGCAGTAGCCAAATACTGTAGATGCACATGTTAACCTGGGTCACCAAAATTACAAAAGCAATAAAACAAAGAGCTAACAACGAAGCAGAGAGATATTGTGAGCGACTCTCCTGGCAGTCAGCAACCAGGGCTGCCGTGTGCTGGGGGGTGCGGAGACAGCGACGACGTCGTTGTTACCAGCGTGCATATGGTGGTGGTTTTCCCCGTGCCAGGCATGCCGACAATGAGCGTGTAATCCCGAGACAGCAGCACTCGCTTCATCGCCTGCCTCTGGGGCCGGTTGAGGCCTGAGGGCACAGATGCACGGGGACAGCGCAGATCCCCAATTCTCATCCCACCCACGTGTATGCAGAGGGGAGAGACCACACAACACCCTAAACACACACGTACACTTACAATGTATAACCACCTAACACACACACTTAGATCAAACATCCATCCTACATACACACATTCCATGTGGCTCACACTCCACACATACCTGTACAGCAACATCCAACCTACGGACGTACAAAACACACAGCTTCAGATAATTGTCACTCGTGTTGACCTGAGTGGGAATCGAACCCGGTTCGCCGGGTTCGTAGCGCAGCACACAAAGATCCCCCGTATAGCCTTAACAGACTGTAGGGGCAAGTGCTGTTAGCGAGCATTTATGAAGGCCGGAACGGTACACGAGGGGGTGGGTGGTCAGCACCACGCCCGACCACCTTAGTCTCCCCAGTGGCAATGTTTTTATCCACCGCACCAGGTACTCATTTGAGGCACACCCACACAGATCACACCCGCACTCCACACACACCTTGTAATGCCCACGTCCCCTCTCCACACAAGCACCCCCTGTATGGCTAAATGAGCAGTGACACTGACACACAGGCTGTGTGCTTGTTTAAAGTTGCACCACCTGTCACAGGACACCACAACCCAGGCAGCCCTAATCACCCCCCTGACAGCACCAGCTTCTCGGAGCCGTGCCACCCCTCCCCACACGTACCACCCACCCCCGTGCCTCCCCTCTCCACACGTACCACCCACCGCCACGCACCCCTCCCCAGACATGCCACTCATCCACCCCACCCATCTCTGCCCACTCCCCTAATTGTTGTGCGTACCCTTCAGGATCTGCGCCACCGTATCCTTGGCGTCAACCGGTAGAACGTCGCTCAGTCGCTCCAAAAACTCGGGCCTTTTCAGATCAATGACGAGCTCCCGCAGCTTGGCACTGCTCAAGACAAAAATCCTCCTTAGAGCCTTAACATAGTTTCAGGGCAAGTGCTGTTAGCGAGCACTGATGAAGGCAGGCGTGACACACGAGAGAGTGGCTGGCTAACACCACACTCGGCAGCCTTTGTCTACCCAGTGCTGTATTTGCACACCGCAATAAGTACTCATTCAAATTTGAGTCGACCTAGGGGAGGCCCAGGACCGGCTCAGATATTCATCACTGTTATTGATCGTAAGTAGGATTCAAACATACATTCACCCACACGCGCACGCACGCACGCACGCACGCACGCACACAAGCACAAACATGTTCACTCATGTGCACATGCATTAACATACATGCAGGTGCCAGTGGGCATATACATATACAATTGTGGGTGACTACAAGTATATGTGTGCGTGTGTCAGTGGGAGTGTACAGGTGTGTGTAGCCATGAGTCTGTCCAGATGTGTGTACCTGTACGAGGTATCCAGACCTATGCCTGTGTCCACGCATGTCTGTGCGTTTCAGTGCATATGGACCAGTATTTGCATCGGTGGTTATGTACAGCTGTGTGTACGTGTGTTTGCTGATGGGGTTGCCTAAGGAGTGGCTGTGTACAGTTATGAGAGTGCATACCTGGCGGGGGTGTTACTCAGCAGGCGAGAAAGGTTCCCCAGGTGAGTGTCCACAGAACCCGAGAAGCTCTCGTCCACGTCCAGACTGAATAAGAAGGCCGCTCCGAACCTCCCCAGGTCCCTGGGCCAGCACAAGCAGCAATGAGACGACAACAAGGAAACAACGAGAAACCAAGCACTCAAACAACTCTCAGCTTTACACAAACTCCCTATATTCTTGGTTCTTTCGGTAAAGTCACATAGAAGGGAAACAATAAAATCATAAAAATAAAAAACAATAAAATTATCACGACGTTTCGACTGCAACACAAGCAATCATCATCAGGTGTGAAAACTACAGCAAGAAAATTTGAAAAAAAAAAAGTGGCAGTTTTTTTTACGTTAGCACCACGGAGAGCGATTTGGCAGTAATTCAGATGGACGAGTCCATCTATGTTCAGAAAAGAGGAGGGGGGAGACGAAAATAATGGATGCGGTCTGAAAGCCACTGTAAGCGTGAACAATCAATTAAGTCTCTGTGTTTGTGTATGTGGATAGCCTCATGAATGGATCTCTCATGGTAGCCAGATCGCTGTGGTTTTCACACCTGATGATGATTGCTTGTGTTGCAGTCGAAACGTCGTGAGAATTTTATTGTTTTATATTTTTATTATTTTATTGTTTCCCTTCTACGTGACTTTACCGAAAGAACCAAGAATAGGAATCCCTGCAGTCACGAAAGCTTTAAAACAAACTCCCGAGTTAAACTCGAAAGAGCCTCACCGGTCAACTTGGCACTGAACCTCTTCGTTGGTGACGGACAACACTGTGGCCGTGGCGATGGCTATGGTGGCGGGGTCTTTGCCGCTCACGATCACTCGATCGCCTACGGCGACGCAGCCTTGGGGGGCCGACCCCTGACCCTCCAGGTCCGGCGTGAGCCCTGCTGCCCCCCATCCTCCCTGCGGTCCCCGGCGCCGGAAACGCTGGATGAAGAAGCGCCCGTCTGGTGTGGCCACGGCCGGGCCCAGCAGCGTCAAATCACAGACGCAGAGACCCTTCGCCTGCCTGTACGACGCCAAGCGTTCCGTCACACTCGTCAACAACCACGATCAACCACCACACACGAGTGCACACAACTCACAACACCCAGACACCACGCACAATAATACCATGAGCGTACACACCCGACGACGAAACACCACCAAGTACAATAACAATCACACTCCGCAACAATCACACACGCAGCGGCCTTGGGGCCACCTGTACTGCCACACGTTCGGGCACACATACCAACAACCACGCACAACCACACTCAATCACGCACAACTACACGACCAATCACATCCAATGCAGTAGTTCTATTCCTACCTGTATCGCACACACCACACGAGCCGTCATACATATCAACAGCCAGAGACGGCTGGTCTCATACATCAACAATCAGGCACAACGATAACCACATAGCTGGCCAAACACACACACACCAACAACAACCACACAAAGACAACACAACCCGTCAGAACCCACACACACACACACGCGCGCGCGCGCGTATCGTATGCACTCGCGCACATGCGGTTACATCTGCAGTCAGTCACAACACCACATGTGAAGGACTCACATACGCACCTCTCGTGCGGTGGCAGAACCCACAGGTTGTGACGGCCGCCCTTGCACTGCTCGGTCTGCGCCTCCAGCAGGCACAGCAAGTACCAGCGCGAGAAGTAGCGCAGGTGAGCGGGGGACAGGTGCTGCGTCCGCTCGGCCAGCAGCGACACGAACTCGACGGGCCACGAGGAGGAGGCCGGGACGTCGCTCGATCCACGCGCCTCCTCTTCCACCGCCCTGCCAGTGGCACAGCCACGTTCCTTACATGGCCAGCGGGCGTAGGGGACCTACGGCCAGACTGTGCTTCACTACTCTGTTCAGTGCTGGTTGGGGGAGGGGGGAGCCAGAAGACTGGTGTATCTGCCAGTCATCTCAGTCAGTCCACCCATGGCACCGGAGTCTGTCCTGTGACCTTCCGTCAGCGAGCCTTCGACACTTCACGTGGCCTCAAAGTGCACCTGGCCTGGCACAGGCACCGTAGTGACGTCACCGTTACATAGTGGCGAATGGCGGGAATTGGCATTGGGCCAGGCGACCGGTGTAGATATCGCTCACCACCGGTGTTAGCCGAGGCCAGAAATCGAACTCAGGTTGATGGGTTTGATAGTGTGGCAAGCGTTAACCACTGTGCTCCACTGTTTCTCCACCCGAAGCTACAGGGTAACAACTTACGAATCTCGACTATCACACCCACGATTTCGTAACGCACGCACCGCAAGCGTAAGAATTGATTTCGAGCGATGAATCAACGAAGCATCGTTGCACGGCCACCGGCGAGGCTGCCGCCCCACGGGCAGGGTTTTTGTTTGTATTTTACCAGTTAAGGCCCACTGGGACATGTTGCTTTCTTTCAGAAGTGGCCACAATTTATAGCTCAACGAAGTGGCTTATCACGCGGAAATTTACAGCAGCCAAATACTCTAAATGTGGAGGGAAAAACAGGAGGACCTAAATAAAAATCCACGCGACCACGGGGAGAACACGCAAACTCCAAATATGCAGGCGTCAGGGTCGGGATCGAACCCGCGACCTCCTGCATACCAAGCGAGGTAGTTAACATCTCCTAGCCACCGTGGCGCCCACGAGAGAGGCAGTGTGGCCGGCGGTCTGCACCGTCACCTGTGGTAGACGGCACAGTTGCCCAGCTGGGAGCAGTTGCGGCAGGTGAAAATCTCGGCGATTGGCTCCGGCAGCGGCGCCGGCCGTGGCTCTTGGCGATCTTCTTCTTCCTCCTTCCTTCTCCCTCCGGCGCCAGCGCCGTCGGCAGCAGTCCTGGGCGGCCACCACACGCCGTTGGCCAGGCTGTGCGCCAGCTGGTTGCGCAACTTGATCAGCTCTGTAGAAACGCACGGCGCGACGACCGCCGTGAACAAACGTCAAGAGGGCAGGTGGGGGGGTGGGATGGAAGAGTCGAGCAACATGAACTAAAAATGACAGCAACGACCTGGAGAATGTTACGTTATTATAAACCTATATTAATCAAATGTGTTCACCTACCAACGCTGACCAGCGTGGTGAAGTATAGTCAAGCAACTCCAAACACCAACATGGTGTGGAGATGCCTTCATCCAGCAGTGGAATGACACAGAGCTGTACACATTTGTGCTTGTGTGTAGCAGTGAGCGGGCTGCGCTACGAACCCGGCGACCCAAGTTCAGTTCCCGCTCTTGGCCAACACTAGTGATGATCATCTGAACCAGTTCTGGGCTTCCTCTAGGTCGACTCAACCTCAAATAATCCGGCCGCGGTGTGTTAATATCGCCACTGGGGAGACAAAGGCGGCCGGGCACGGTGCTGGTCACCCACCCCCTCGTGTGCCGTGCCAGCCTTCATAGATGCTCGCACACAGCACTTGCCCTAAGTCTGTTAACACCATATCGGAGGGTGATCTTTGTTTACCACGCATGTCCAAACGGGAGGCCGGCACGGGGTGCATGCCGCCCGACTTGAGGTAGAGGAGGAACCCGAGGCCGGGGTCGCCCCAGCGCTCCTGCGTCAAGAGCGTGTACAGCACCACCTACACGACAACAGCAACAGCGTGTACAGCACCACCTACACGACAACAGTAACAGCGTGTACAGCACCACCTACACGACAACAGTAACAGTGTGTACAGCACCACCTACACGACAACAGCAACAGCGTGTACAGCACCACCTACATGACAACAGTAACAGTGTGTACAGCACCACCTACACGACAACAGCAACAGTGTGTACAGCACCACCTACACGACAACAGTAACAGTGTGTACAGCACCACCTACACAACAGTAACAGTGTATACAGCACCACCTACACGACAACAGTAACAGTGTATACAGCACCACCTACACGACAACAGCAACAGTGTGTACAGCACCACCTACACGACAACAGCAACAGTGTGTACAGCACCACCTACACGACAACAGCAACAGCGTGTACAGCACCACCTACACGACAACAGTAACAGCGTGTACAGCACCACCTACACGACAACAGTAACAGTGTGTACAGCACCACCTACACGACAACAGTAACAGCGTGTACAGCACCACCTACACGACAACAGTAACAGTGTGTACAGCACCACCTACACGACAACAGTAACAGTGTGTACAGCACCACCTACACGACAACAGTAACAGTGTGTACAGCACCACCTACACGACAACAGCAACAGCGTGTACAGCACCACCTACACGACAACAGTAACAGCGTGTACAGCACCACCTACACAACAGTAACAGTGTGTACAGCACCACCTACATGACAACAGTAACAGTGTGTACAGCACCACCTACACGACAACAGTAACAGTGTGTACAGCACCACCTACACGACAACAGTAACAGTGTGTACAGCACCACCTACACGACAACAGTAACAGTGTGTACAGCACCACCTACACGACAACAGCAACAGCGTGTACAGCACCACCGGGAGAGCTGTTCTTTCTACAGCAGAGCTCATTTCTCCGATTCGTCAAGTAACACTAAAATAGTTTGAAAAAAACAAGTCCAAGGAATCATCATCATGGGTGAGACTTTAAATGGGCCTGAGCAATGGACCACAGATAAGTAGTCGATTACGATTTTTAACTATGAATCGGCTTAGTCGAATGATCGTCCCATGTCGACTCTACAGCACACACACACAGGTGTCCCGCTTATAGGCGGCTCAGACGTGCCGCAACAAGAGAGGAAAGCCACATCGGAAGGAGTAGGTAAACGTGGAAGCACCAGGGTGGAGCTAGTGCTACAACGAGAGGCGGTTCCAAGTCGTGAACTAGGATGTGAGGGCCTGTCAAGTAGACGTGAAGACGATGGCCCAGGAGAGACATGCGTGGATAAAGGGCGGTACACGTATACAGAGCTCACACCAGCGGGGGACACATGCCAAGAAGAAATAGTCAACAGGTGCAAATTGTAATTGGGATGAGAATTGGGGATCTGCGCTGTCCCCGTGCATCTGTGCTCTCAGGCCTCAACCGACCCCAGAGGCAGCCGATGAAGCGAGTGCTGCTGTCTCGGGACTACACGCTCATTGTCGACATGCCTTGCACGGGGAAAACCAACCACCATATGCACGCTGGTAACAACGACGTCGTCGCTGTCTCCGCACCTCCCAGCAGAGAGCAGCCCTGGCGGCTGACTGCCAGGAGAGTCGCCCACAATATCTCTCTGCTTCGTTGTTAGCTCTTTGTTTTATTGCTTTTGTAATTTTGGTGACCCAGGTCAACGTGTGCGCCTTAAGAGTATTTGGCTGCTTGAAATTTCCACGTGATAAGCCACTTCGTTGAGCCATCATTTGTGGCCAGGTCGCTTTGAAAAATAAGCTATTTATAGCTAAGTAGACCTTACCTGGTAAATAAAAAATAGTTTCTTGTTTAGTTTAGTCATGGTCTCATTGGCAGCCTGCTTCACCAAAGCGAGGGTTTACCTGCGCCTTGTGCTCGATGGATTGGCTTTCCTTTCCCGTCTTCAGCTCCAGCGGCACCGTGCGGACAATTTCCTCGTTTCCCCACCCGTGGACCTTTCCGGGGAGGGCGCCGGCGGCGGCCCTGTTTTTGCCGTCGCAACGCGCCCGGCGGTGGATGCGCACAGTCGCCATGGCGTCCACCTTGCCCTTGAGGCCGAAACGCGGGGACCAGACGCTCTCCTCCACGTCCCCGAGGTGGCACACGGACACCGTGCACGCGCTGGCATCGCCCTCTCCGGCCCTGCGGGTACACGCCCGCACACGCACGCACGCATATACGTAAGCACCAGTACGTGCACACACTGACATGCACACATGTGGACAACGTGCAAGCATAGGCATGGGCAAACACACTCAAAGAGATGCACAAATGTATCAAAATGCACAGACATAAAGACAGGGTGAGTGCGAATACTGATCAGTGAGTGTGCATAATGATCAGTGCGAGAGTGAGTAATGAACAGTGTGAGTAAATGACGAGTGAGTAATGAACAGTGTGAGTAAATGACGAGTGAGTAATAAACAGTGTGAGTAAATGATGAGTGAGTAATGAACAGTGTGAGTAAATGATGAGTGAGTAATGAACAGTGTGAGTAAATGATGAGTGAGTAATGAACAGTGTGAGTAAATGATGAGTGAGTAATGAACAGTGTGAGTAAATGATGAGTGAGTAATGAACAGTGTGAGTAAATGATGAGTGAGTAATGAACAGTGTGAGTAAATGATGAGTAATGAACAGTGTGAGTAAATGATGAGTGAGTAATGAACAGTGTGAGTAAATGATGAGTGAGTAATGAACAGTGTGAGTAAATGATGAGTGAGTAATGAACAGTGTGAGTAAATGATGAGTGAGTAATGAACAGTGTGAGTAAATGATGAGTGAGTAATGAACAGTGTGAGTAAATGATGAGTGAGTAATGAACAGTGTGAGTAAATGATGAGTGAGTAATGAACAGTGTGAGTAAATGATGAGTAATGAACAGTGTGAGTAAATGATGAGTGAGTAATGAACAGTGTGAGTAAATGATGAGTGAGTGATGAACAGTGTGAGTAAATGATGAGTGAGTAATGAACAGTGTGAGTAAATGATGAGTGAGTAATGAACAGTGTGAGTAAATGATGAGTGAGTAATGAACAGTGTGAGTAAATGATGAGTGAGTAATGAACAGTGTGAGTAAATGATGAGTGAGTAATGAACAGTGTGAGTAAATGATGAGTGAGTAATGAACAGTGTGAGTAAATGATGAGTGAGTAATGAACAGTGTGAGTAAATGATGAGTAATGAACAGTGTGAGTAAATGATGAGTGAGTAATGAACAGTGTGAGTAAATGATGAGTGAGTGATGAACAGTGTGAGTAAATGATGAGTGAGTGATGAACAGTGTGAGTAAATGATGAGTGAGTAATGAACAGTGTGAGTAAATGATGAGTGAGTGTGAGCAATGATCGATGAGTGCCAGTAACGATCGGTGAGTGCGATTCGTGGGCAGAGTTCGAACGAGCCGGCGTCAATCCCGGGTTCCACGTACATCTTGATCGGCATGCGAAGGCCATGCGAGGCCGAGTTGGGCTCCGGGCCCCCTTCCAGGTACCGACTCGCCCAGCGGCCAATGGCCGAGAAGTACTCCTCCATCTCCCCCAGCAGCTCTGCCTGCGACACGCCCAACTTGTACCTGCGCCAGAGCATCAGCACCATTCGCGCGCGCACACACACGTGTGTGTATCTGTCTAAGTTTGTTTATGTGCGTCCATCCATTTGCGTGCGAGTGACAAAGTGATAAGCGCACTGTGCTATAAACCCGACGACCAGCGTTCGATTCCCACTCACGGACAACATCGGCGATGAATATCTGAATCGGTCCTAAGCTTCCCCTCGGTCGAATCAGCCTTAAAAATTAGTACCTGGTGTGGTGTGTAAACATCGGCAGTGGGGAGGCAAAGATGGCCAGGCTTTGGTACTTGCCACCCACCCCCCTCGTCTGCAGTGCCAGCCTTCATAGGTGCTCGCTAACAGCACTTGCACTAACAGTCTGATAATGGCTTTACATATGATCTATTGGCACGTGAGTTCATAAGCACGCGTGTACAAGTGCAAAAAAAAACCTGGACATATCTATGCGCGATAACACCCGTGTGTGCGAATGTATATATATATACCTGTGTGCATTAATATACACTTACATGAACATGTTCATGTAGACCTGTGCAGATTGGTACACAAGTGTGTGTGCGCGAGTATGCCCGTATGATCAGTGCATGCCAGTCTGCGCGAGTGCGAGCACGGTGACGAAGGCACGGCCGTGCGAGGGCGCAGTCCCACGAATGCAAAAACACGTGAGCGAGCGAGCGTGCGTGCGTGCGTGCTTACATCTCAGCGAGGTGCTGGAGCTGCGCGAGGGTGGCGGAGGCGGCACTCCTCAGCGCAGCATCCGAGAAGTCTCGCTGCAGCGCGGCTCTCTGGAACACCTCGTGCAACAGTGTGCCCAGCAGCATCTGCCGCGTGCCCCACTCTCCGCCGCCCTGTACCGCTCAATGGACAAAGACAAGGATCCCCCCTGTAGCATCTAACAAACATTTTCCAGTGGTACATCTGAGCCAAGCCAGCAAGGGGCCCTCACAGTAATAGTTCTCCATGGGCTGTCTGCCGAGCTGAGCCAGAACCATGATACGCTGGCCTCATAAAACATCCATATCTGACTCGGGGCTAAGTTTCCCTGTACAAGAAAACGGGTAAACCGTATGGGTTGACAGGTATGCGATGCGCACCCCGCACCTCCGATTTGCACGGTCGGCTACGTACGGTGCGGAAGAAGTTAAAGTTCAACCTTGAAGCGCTCCGACAGCACGGCGCGGCGAGGGCAGCGGATGCCGTTGGTGACGGTGGTGCCCGACAGCAGGAGGTCAGGGTTCACGACCACAAAGCCGGCGTCGTTCGTCACCTCCAGCACCGCCGCCGTCACGCTGGCGCAGGTTGCCTCCTCCCCACCCCTTAGTGGCACCTCCACAGCGCCGTCAAGGTGCAGCACGTCCCCCACGCTTACTGGAGCCAGCGCCCTGCAGAGTCGCGCGGGGCCCAGTCAGGCGGTGTCCGTTATTTAACCAGGAGATTAAATATAGAACTCGTGGAGACACGATCACAGGTTCACACTCCACGACACCAGGGGGTGGAGCCTGGGAGACACAAATATATCCACCCCTCTCGATACACGCAATGCACGTCAATGTATTTTGACCCCGGGGTCCAAATTGTATGGCTGTCAAAATACGAGACCAACAGGAGAGATACTCGCCAGTCGTCTTTGAGGACGCAGGTGAGGCTGGCGCCCCCGGAGGGATTGGCGGTGAGGCTCAGGTGCCTCTCGCTGCGCCAGGCCCCGAGCGGAAGGTCGCGCAGCGCCACCACGCGGTAGCGGTTGTACGCTCCCTCACACAGCATCTCCCCTCCGCGGCGCCGGCGCTCTGGCCGTGGCGATGCTTGCAGGGCCTTCGCCTTCTCCTCACAACTGCGGACGTGATAAGAAATTAATTATCTTAAACAATTTTTTTATTTTATCAGGTTAAGGCCCGCTGCGCTATATAGCTCTTTTTCAGCAGCGACTTGGCCACAAATGATAGCTCAACGAAGTGGTTTATTTCGCGTAAATTTATAGCAGGCAAGGTTGTTAAAATCTCGCCACCGTGGCACCCCATAGGTTAATAGGTTAATCGTGAATAACTAATGATTACTTATACACAGAGTGCTGCCAGAGTCTAATTGTTGGCAAACTGGACTTACAATCCAGAGGTCGTCGCTTCGATCTCCAGGTACAGGAGTTGAATCAATAGGTCAAGTTTCGAAAATCCCTCCCGATGTTGTCCACCCACCAATATAGATGGGTGCAACATAAAACCCCGGTTTAATCAAAAGTTGCACCGCGGGTTCGAACCCAGGCTCGTTTGGTCCCACTGCAGCACTCCGACATCTGCGGTCGCTGGATACCTCATTGGATACAATTTGATGCCACTATAACGCCCAAATAACATTGCGACTGGCACAATGACATCCTTGACCATCATGTTAAATTCTATACTATGATTAACAAAGATTAAAACGTGTGTTCTATATACCAGTAAAAATAATCGAGGTAACCGATCTGTAAGAGCCGGATTTTTTTTGGATTGTGCCTTTATTTAAGGGTGTGATTGAAATGGAACTCACGGATTTTCCTCCACAGTGAAGCTCTCCTGCAGGAACGCATCCAGGATGTCTGGGCTGAGTTCATCTTCTGGAAAATCCTGTGACAATTCCCTCGGCGTGATTGTCTCATGGCTGGGAGGCTTTGGGATATCCCTGTTACCACAACCAGCACCGCCACCAGAATCACCGCATCTCTCACCACTACCATTACTACCTACGTTGCCACTGCCAACACCACCACCACCATTACCATCATGACCATCACCATTAGCACTACCATCACCTTTACTGTCAACAACACAGTCACCACTAACATTGCCACCACTCTCACCTCCAAGCTTGCCATTACCATCACTACTCAATGCACTGCTATCACCGTTACCACCACCACTATTCTCACCACCACCATTGTCACCATCATCAACGCGTCTACCATCACCACCTTTCCCACCATCACCACCACTCGCAACACCACCCCCAACATGGCTGTCGCCAACACATGCCCTCCTCCTGTTTCGCACAAGTGGATCAGCAGCAGCACCAACTACTGCAGAGTTCGTGTCCTCCCTGGGCCCTAGTTGACTTAAGACAGTGCCACTCTTCATCTTCCTTCTTGCTTCCTCTCCTGGGTGGTGCTTGCCTTCCTCAGGGCTGTGCTCCGCTTCAGCCACAGCCGAGCACAGGGGCTTCAGGTTCACCGAGCTACTCCAGGCCGGGCACAGAGGCTGTAGGTTCACTGCGTCCTGTGAGTTCTCTTTCTCGGTCCCATCTTGTAGGGAGAAATCCGACTTGCCTGTGATCAATACGGCTGATGAAGCCGAATCCTCTCTACCTGACCTTGGATTCTGCGCTTTTTCAGCCGGCGCTGGAGGTTCTGAGTTAGAGTCAATTGGCACAAATTCGGAGAGGGTCGACTGAACTGTAGGCCGGATCCGCTTCGTGTTCAACTCCACGTCGGGACTTAGTGCCAGCCGCTTGGACGTCCCTGGCAGTGGCACCGCCGCTCGGCTGTCCACTCTTTTCAGCTCTGCACCGCGTGAGCGTGCACACACATACATACACGCACCCACACACACAAACTCAGAACTGCACGAGATAAAAATAGCATGAATTGTCTGAAAGGAGAACTGTGCAAATCAGACAGAAATTTACATTAGTGTCGCGTTGGCACGTCGCCACATCTCAAGGCAAATGTGGGACGTAATGATGCATCGATTAAAATGTATTCTTACAGACTAGAGGCCAATGGAAAAGAGAAAATAGACAGGAAATGAGATGGTGAGACAATATTTGAATATCTGGAGTGCACAAGAATGGAGGTGGAAAGAGATTGTGAAGAGTGGAAAACACTGGAAGACGGCTTTGTCCAGCAGCAGAATGTTCCCGGATACGAAATAAAGAAAGGTATCTCTGCAGAATCAGCAGGGCTCACTGGTTTTGCTCAGCCGCGTTGCTTTTACGTCTTGCCGCTCAGCGCGGGCCACCGAGCGATCGCAACCACCTGCTGCCCCCCTGCCCAGCGCAGCTGCCCTCCTGCCGACGACCCGTACGGGCGTCCCCGGCACGCAGTCTCGCTCGGGGGTGTCCGGAATGAGAACCTCGTCGTCCGGAATGAACATCACGTCATCATCCGAATCGTCCGCTGGTGCCGACGAGGATGCCTTCCCCACGCCGTCCCCCAGGCTGGCGCCGTTCGCGACTCCGGGCTTGCTCTGCACACAGAGGCCGTGCGTCGTGGTGGCGTTCGCACTCAGCTCCGCTGCATCGCTCGGCTTCTGTCGACGTCAGAAAGAGAGAGCCAGTAAAGCAGCAGTAAGGAAAACCTTCTCCTTGGCCAGGGGCCGAATTTTACAAACACCTTCAGCGGGCCACACATTTGCACGATCAGAGCTTTCTGCACAAACATGTTCAATAATCCATTGCAAGTAGGCCACCTCGCAGCCCAAGCCTACAACACCTAGTATTCCCAGGCAGTCTCCCATCGAAGTAATCACCAGGCTCAACTCTGCTTCATCGGATGAAAATGGGGTGCAGATGATGACGATGATATGGATAAAAGCAGTTACAACGCTAACGTATTGTATTTTTCCGTATTTGTGAATCCGCCATTGAGTCGTTACATGTTCCATGGTCTGTTCTTGGTGACCAGTCACACTGCTATTCTCTGACAAGTATCATCTTGTTGAATGCAACGAAACAGAGTTGACGAATGAGTGAATTAATTACACGCAGAGGAGCTCAGGCTATGAGAGTTAAGGCTTGCAGGCTGGGTGTGTTCACCTGTGTTCACCTGCAACCCCCGGGTCCATGAGCACATGCTTGCTGCGACGTACCTTGCCGAAGAAGGCCGATATCTTCTGAACGCCATCCGCCTTGTCGGTGGGCTGTTGACAGCGGGCGACAAGCGCACAGGTGAGACATGACGTCACCCACACGTTAGACACACGAGACATGACACGGCGACACGTGACATGTAGTCCGAGTCAGGCATGCGACACAGGCAGGCACATGAGACAGAGACATGGCATGGGACAGGCATGAGACGCAGTCAGACACGTGAGACGAACATGAGACACAGACGGATGCATGGGACATGGCGTGAGGCAAGCAGACGCGTGTGAAAGACATCAGAGACAGTGACATGACACAGACATGTGACACGGGCAGGCACGTAAGACACACACACACACACAACACGGGCAGACGAACGAAACGTGACATATACAGTATTGCCTTGCGACGTGCCTGAGACATACATCATGCGTGACACAGGAGTGAAACATGCGTGATACATGCGTGACACAGGAGTGAAACATGCGTGATACATGCGTGACACAGGAGTGAAACATGCGTGACACAGGAGTGAAACATGCGTGATACATGCGCGACAGAGGAGTGAAACATGCGTGATACATGCGTGACACAGGAGTGAAACATGCGTGAGACGTGCGTGACACAGGAGTGAAACATGCGTGACACAGGAGTGAAACATGCGTGACACAGGAGTGAAACATGCGTGAGACATGCGTGACACAGGAGTGAAACATGCGTGAGACGTGCGTGACACAGGAGTGAAACATGCGTGACACAGGAGTGAAACATGCGTGATACATGCGTGACACAGGAGTGAAACATGCGTGATACATGCGTAACACAGGAGTGAGTCTTACCCGCGCCCCGCGCTTGAGTCGCGACATCGCCGGGCACGCCCGCGCCTCACAAATCCCGATTACAAAACACAACTACAACCACCACCACCACTAACCGCACCAACACCAACCACTACCACAACACAAAGGTTCGGCTCATACCAACTACAACAACAAACGGAACACACTCGCGCCAAGTACGACAGGAGTAGTGTCGACACGAAAGAGCGCGGTGTCGTTCCGCGTGTTGAAGCGGTTGGCGCGCCGAGAAGAAACGGCGGGAAAAGTGAGAGCGGGATTAGAATTCACCGCAACACGGCCCTGCCCTCGCTTGCCAAGCTATGCCCTTCTCTTCTCGCGAGACATGCCCTTCGCTACGCACAACCCTGCCCTTCTCTCTTCACAGTCCTGCCCCTAATCACTGCCCAGCCATGCCCCTCTTCCTACACAACCCCTGCCTTTCTCGCTTCCGCCCTTCCCTTCTCCTCGTCCATCTCCCTGCTCAGCCTTGCCCCTCTCTTGGCAGCCTTGCTCCTCTCACTTCACAGCCTTCCCTTTATATTACATCAGCCCTCCTTGTCCTATATCGCTGTCTTTCCCGGCTGTGCCCTTCTCCCAGTCCTTGCCCTTCTCGCAGTTGGGTCCTAGCCCCGAAAATTGCCCTATTCCCTCTCTGACCCTGCCTTGCCCTCTGCTCTCCACTGCTGCGCTGCACTGCCCGGGCAAGCCCCAGGCCACGCGCGTTCCCGCGTCCACTGTGATCCAGATCCTTAGGTTTCAGCAACGGGAGGTCACGTGGGGAGGAGGGGGGCTGGGCATAGAGGCGGAGCCACTCCTTGAGCGATCGGTTGCTTGAAACTTCGTCGCAACTCGGTTGCATGCAACCGATGAATCGCTTATATGTGCAACCAGACGCGCACCTTGGTTGCATTCGACCAAACTGCGTATATGTTGACGTATCTACAAACAGTTGCATGCAACCGACTCGCTCATGTGCGGACGTCTCTGCAACCAGTTGCGTGCAGTTATCGCAACCGCCCCCTTAAGTCCCCTCCTGCTGGTCCATTGTTCGTGTCGCCCACACGAGCCATGGCATGTCCAAGCATGCAAATGTTGTGTCCTCTCATCCATGCATTCCTCTTCCCGTCTCAATGTAATCACCAGGAGTAATAACAATGTTATGAATGTTCGGTAATCAGCAGGACTTTATTCCAGCTGTGCCAATGCGCTAATAAAACGTGTGCTTCCTGTATCTCTCTCACCGTTGTTGTGGCAACTCGTGACGTGCCATCCATTCCATCAGCGAAACAGGACATATTTAGTGACCCAATTAACCCCGTTCGCTTTGCCAGCCCGTATCAAGTCAATCTCAGTTTTCCCCATCTCGGTTGGGAACAATGTCGTATGTTGCCCCTATGACGGGAGGTCGTTTATGGAGTAAATTCGGTTAGCAGTGTCCCAAAGATATGGCTTCGGCTCCTTCAGTAACCCTTTCAGAGTAGCCATGCAATTATTCACGAGCACTCAACCACCATTTGACTATTTCTGTCGTCTCACTTTGTATGGTAATGTTTGCTCTCTTAGCCTTATTGTAACAGCGTTATTATTTGCATAAATTCAAAACAATCATTATACACAATTTCATGTGAACGTGGGGTCGGTGGTTAGCTCGCTCCGCAATGAACCTGGCGACCTCGGTGCAATTCAGCCACGGACATCTATAAAGGTTCCAGCGGCACTCTACCTGCCCATGCTGCCCAGTGTGAAAAAAGGGCAGTCTCCGTGACACATTCATCCAGCAGTAGATTAACAAAGGGCTGAAAATAATTTTCCGTTTAGAATCGATTTTAATCGAAAAATTACTCATGGTTATTCAGACCCACCGAACACACAACACCAGCATATCGCGCAGCACATCCACATGTGTTTTCTGTTGTACTTTATTGGGTTTTTGTATTATTATTTTTTTCTACAGACAGACGTCAAGTATTTTACAACAAAATTGTGACAAACTTTGTTCATTTTATTACAGAAATGTACAGAAGGGATATTATACACACAAAATCGAGCAACGGAACAGACAAACGAGAACATAAGACACGCTGGGGAGGGTGGCTGAGCGGAGGAAAGACGTCGTCAAGGGGGGGGGGGGTGGGGGTGATGTCAGAGACGGATGGCTCAAATTGGGGGGCGGTGGAGGTGGAAATAACCGATGAGTTATAAAAATGTGCACAACGTGGAGGTCTGAAGCGGACTTGGTGGGGGGAGGGCCGTGCATTGGGTCACATGGCGTACTTCTGCGTCCACTCTCTGGCTAGTTTGTTATATCTGCGAAGAGAAACAGGATATCCACGTCAGGGGGTAGTCACCGCTTGGTCGCAATCAACATCAGTCAACGCTCACGATAACAAAATGTAACCAAAGCCATGGTACACAGCATCTGTTGTGAACACACTAGCCTATACAAGTATTTATTGAATATTACATTACTAATAGGCATGTTATCGATTCAGTCAGAGCAATTAAACACATCTTCAAGATGCAGTCATCCGCGCTGTCGACTTAACAGGCCTGTTTAAGTCCAGGCTTAAGACCTCCCTCATTTCCCTCCGCCTCAGACCGACTACCTCTTAAAAAGGTTTAAAAGGACCACAGGAGTGACCACTAAACATCCTTCGATTAGAGTAAAATGTCACAGCTATGCATAATTCAACAACAAAAACGATCCTAATCATAAAACGTATTTTGGAAAATAAGAACCAACCTAGTTATATATACACGTGTGTACTGTTGTCCATTGTGGGACCATGGGGGACAGCAAAGACATGAGGCTTCCATCCAGCAGTGGATTGATCATGGCTGATAGTCATTAGTATCTGGCGGTATGCCGGCATCGTATACTCACTTATCTCGGTCTGTTTTGTATATTCGTGCAATCTCTGGAACCAGGGGGTCATCTGGGTTGGGGTCACAGAGCAGCGAGCAGATCGACAACAGCACTGCACACACGGACACAACACACGAGAGAGCGCATGGCAAGCACAGCTTCAAACACAACTCTAAACACAGGACGCCACTACCCAGCCGTTACCCTCAACTAAAAAGCGCGTATGCCCTATACAGAGTTTAAAAGGCAAAGCAGATTAAAGTGTACTGGGCAATTACAGCTAAATGAAACATTTATGGCAATCTCTAATGATCTGCCAAATAACTGGATGTTAAGACTGAGGAACAGATGTTTCCACTCTGTGAAACCACTCCAAAGCAGCTTTAAGGAAGTCAACAAAAGATCAATAAACCAACATCAACCCTTTGTGCTGAATAAAACACGAAGGGTTGCGCACAGCTCCGCGTGAGAGATCCGACTGCTTCAATTCTTAATGACACCGCGCCTCTGAGAAGTGGGAATAAAATTGGCTAAAAATACGACGAAGACAATATTATTAAACACAACACCATCAGCACCACGCGGCCAGGAGCCATCGCCATGCAAAACGTTCTTCCCAGCGATACGGACCTTTTGAGATGGTGAGCGCCGGTGACCACTGAGACCTCAGGATGTCGAGGCAGATGCTCCCGTTACTGTTGATATTTGGATGGTATATGCGTGTCGTGAACGCTACCTGCAGAGGGAACACGACCGCGCTCGAGTTCACTCAATCGATGCAATCCGTCATAAATCACGGGTCGCCATTTATTATTTAACATTGTGGTGCACTGTAAGGCTACTGCTTGCAGGGGTAATGTTAAAGTATTACGTACAGCACATCATACAATGTTGGACTACCACGCACAACACGAGATATAGGCTGCAGGGATGCACAATTGGGAGGGGGGGGGTGGCAATGTGGTGCCCAAGACTGGCTTATATATCACTCGATGCACCCTGGAACCAAACTAATTTCACTGGGTTCAGAGCAAAGTTCGCCAACCACTATGTCACCACTCCACTTGCAAGCAACGCATATATTTTCTCACATACACAATACAAGCTTGCATCATGCGCGTACAAAAGCTAATGCGAACTCCGAATCTGCAAACTCCAACAAAATAGAAACACAATGCCACCCCTCCATTGGTCAGGAACACCACAGCCTTGTGTATGTCTGATCAACCAATCCCCTGACACGATATTTGTGGTTGAGAACTTATTTTGGACTTAAAATCTATGTTTGATTACCCAATGGAAATTGGATGGGAAAGTGCTGCCCCCTACTGACGGAACAGAGGTTACTGGGTGGCACTGCTTTCATGGACCGTGCTGTATGAAGTGTTGCGTGCATGACTTGCGGTGCATGGATTTTAATATTTAACTATAGTTTAACATTGATTTATAGTTGCGCAATATTTTAGATTTCGCATGTGACATTTGCTATTGTTTAGTTTTTATTTGCTTCATTGATTAACTTTATTTTATTTGTTTTAATTTTGCCATTTTAGTGAGCCGGCTCACAGTTGCAAATGAGACTCTGGTAACTCTCGAGTTCTCGCCTACTTAAAAAAACTTGTAGTTGACACGACACCAATATCATTTGGGACAAATTTGGGAAGATATCTTAAAATATATAAAACAGACATGAGAGAGTAGCCTTGCAAGTTGAGGCCATTTCCTACCAATCACAACAACGCTGGCCAAGGGGCCAGCGTTTTCTGATGGGAGACTCACCTTTGGCGGTTTGAAGGGATAGTCTGTAGGGAAGTGGATAGTGAGGAAGAACACCCCTCCTTGGTACGGACTGTCGTTCTACGCAGCAGAAAGCCATATTATACACACATCCTGAAGCCGGAAAACAGTTAAAAGCCATCATTACACACTGACCGTCAAAAGCCAGAGAAAAATCAGCATTCTGTGATTTAATGCTCAAGAGAAATTCATTTAAAGCACGTCTGGGTTCACAAAGGCTCACTCAAATGCACAAACTCACATGGTTGGCGCCTTCATGTGCAATTAACGCCAACATGTCGCAAAGGGTGCACGAGTAAACAGGATGGATTGACAAGTGAACTAGCAGTAAATCTGGACTGGAGTTGTGAAAACAAGGACTGGGGGGGGGGGGGGCAAGGGCTCTCGAAAATGTTCAAGCAACCACCATTAAGAGTTCATTGGAGGTTTTTGGGATGGAGTCACACGTGTCAGAGGCCTGGTTCTCCTTAATTTGTTTATAGTTTAAGACTGAAAACCTTAAAGACAATTGTGAGCTATTGAAATAATATTTTTAACCAATTTGATCTCAATCAGATTTAAACCATTTGTAGTCCATTGTACTTGTACAATAGATTATAAGCTTCATCAGGCAACAGTCAAACTGGCTGTTACCTGATGAAGCTAGTAGTAATTACTGGCAAAACGTCGTACTCAGATTGTAAATGTTGCAGTTTGGCTCTCCAACACACCAGTGTGCTGTACTAGTGACGAATTGGCATGTTCTATTTACGCGACAACCCTTACTAGTTGGCTGTCGGATGGTGGTGGGTTTTAACGGACACATTTATATATTCAAGCGACCTAACCCAAAAAAACCTCTTATGGATATTGGTCACGAAAGCCTACGTGTTAATCTAAGAACGTCCACTGCAGTGGTGTGGGGTCACGTGTTACGCTACCCGAAGGCAGGCACTCCCCTTTCCTCAATCCAAGTATAGAATCCTGTGTGAACCCGTCCCCAATGAATGTTAATTAAAGCGATGACGATGGTGTTTGTACTCACTGGCCCCATGATGGTCGCTTGCCAGTGGAACACTGCAGCAAAGACAGACACAATAAAAACAATAATTGTGCTGTTTTAGAGCAGTTGTGGATAGAAAATAAATACAGGTTTTTCTCTACATGAACAATTTCTGTCAGGTAGCAGTGGCTGTGTTGTGAAACCAAGTTTCTCTGGAAGCCCCATTGGCTTTGGACTAAACAAAAACATTTTTAGACAGTGACTAGTCCTTGGTAAATGCAGGGAAACAGGCTCAGGCACTCCTATCCCCAAATGTCTACATAGACAACATTTTCATCCACAGTGTTTGGGCTCTGCTGACCCATTCGCGGTCCCTTCCAATCCCCACTTCTTAAGCTTCCTTTCGATTAAATATTAAGGCGATGCTCCTTCTCTAGTTTTCTTAACAGATTCCCGTGAGGGGGGGATATGTGCAATTATTTTGGGGTTAAGATTTCCGGGACATGGTTTATGGGTTGACTTAAGCGATGGTAGTACCTAGGGCTCCCTTTTCTTGCCCAGCACAAACATTAGTCGTGGATATCCTTGTTTATGGGGAGATGGGGACTTTTAAATTTCAACACCACAAATTGTCGTCCTGACCGCAAGCACGAACGCAATGTCTCAGAATAATCCTCGTGTTTATGTACAAGTAAATCATTAAGTCACTGCCAGGATAAGGGAGCTGCTGCAAGCAGTGTGGATTTAAACGGGGGGCCTCAGGCCGCAAGTGATTGTACCAGCACTCCGATGTGGACAGATTAACGCGACAATGGGGGGCGGGCATCTCCCATGGTGGGGGGTCCCTACTACTACTCCGTCATGGTGGGGGGTCCCTACTACTACTCCGTCATGGTGGGGGGTCCCTACTACTCACAGTCATCTCCCACGGGCCCTGCCGAGCACTGCGCTGGGGGGTCCCTTCCGAGGTCATTTAATTCCTGGTGGAGAGGCCGGGTGGGGGGCATAACAGTGGGTTGGGAGGGGGGGACACCAGGTTAATTTAAATGCATTGTTTACAATTACATTGTATTGTTTTAGGTGTAAATGTTCCAGTGTATATGTTTAATATCGTGCGAAATTAAAATGAGGTTATGCGCTCCAAATCGCCTTTTCAAAAATAAGCAACTTCAACGGGTTTATTTCATCATCTCCTAGATATAAAAAAAAACGAAACTTAGCTCTTGATCACGTTACAGAAAGGGACAGCCCTAAGTCCGGTGCGGGGTTGTTGAACCCCATAGAGCGAGGGAGTGCTTAATGCCTCGTCATGCACTGCGCGTTTTGTTTGGTTCCGGGTACTGCAGCTCATTCAACCCCCCACAAAAGCAAAACGGGTTCATTTAATAATAAAATGGGCTCGCATCCCAATTAAACAGGACCCTCGCTGAAATAATCGTGAGACTTGAGAGCTTTTCCTTCACGACTACACAAGATGTAATCGTTGTATAAAAACACGGGATTGAGCAAATATTCGAAGAGCAATGCCCTCTTGAACAAAAACAGCATTGCTCGGTTTTAAGGCTTTCCAGTGTCAAGGCACGGCACTGATTACACACACACATTGATGACACACACACATTGGTTACACACACACACACACATTGGTTACACACACACACACACATTGGTTACACACACTGCGTCGTGAACTCAGCCACCCGAAATCGATTCCCGGCTCGCGTCGGTGACGAGGGGATGCGTCAGAACCGGTCCAGACCTGCACAACCGCACCCACCACCCCCCTCCTCCTCCACCTACCGTCACCACCACCACCACATTCCCCAAACCGGCACCGCCTCGCGTGGCGAAGTGTCCCGCGAGCCACGCCACGCGCGACCGACACGGCGTACGGGAAAACCTTGGGACCTTTATCCAGCAGTGGACCGACATTCGCTGGGAATCACTCCGATTAAGACGAAGGGGCCCCCCGGCCCCACCGTTCCGACCGACGAGACACGGCAGGTCCCCAGTGTCTAACTCGAGTAATGCGTCGGTCTCCAGCACCATCCCCACGTCACCCCTCCCTGTACGCACGCGTACTTTACACCCCCCCTCCGTCCCTGCGTACGTACGCCTGACGCACCCCCCCCCCCCCCCCCCCCGAATCATATAGAACGGCCGATATTTAATCCACGCATAAACGATCAAGGATTAATAATATTAACGTGTTTAAGCAAACAGACAGTCCACCGCCGGACTATCCAACTCATTTGAAGGCCAATGTAGACATAATTAGTATCGAGGCTTCACCCCCCCCCCCCCGTTTCCTATGCGTACATTGTCAGCAGACCCCCCATACGCAAGGGTACGCATTTGGGTTAACCCCCGCTCGCCCCTCCATGCGTACGGACTAAACGGGTGGCCCCCCAACTGTGTGCCCGTCCCGTCAATCGTGTCCCGTCACGGTCCCGAGCCCAGGGCCCGCACCAGGCCGCCATGTCCCGCGTCTCTGACTCAATGCCGCCGCCGCCGCCCCCATCTTTCATCACGCCCCACCACCATATTCTTGTTCCTGCCTCGGTTCCTCCCGCTCGCTGCTTCTTCTTCTACACGCCTGTCCTTGTGCCTTTTGTCTCTGCTCTTGTCCATACGGTGTATGTAGTCTGTGTCGTGTTTGTATAATTCTGATTAATCATTGTCCGTCGTCAACGCTCTCTGGCTCGCTTCCGTGTCTACCATCCCCATCGTCCTGATAATCTTTCTCTATTCAACCTCACTCAAAAGTACATCCCCCCCCCGTCTATTGTCTGTCCGTCTATCCCTCCGTCCTTTCTTCTGCCCCTCTTTCCTGTCGTTTGTCTGCCCGTCTCGTCAGGTTTATTTCTACATTTCACCCCCCACCCACTCCCCGCCCTCGTCCGCTGTCAACGTCTCGTGTCTTCGTCGTTAGTCTCGTCTGCCCCCCTCTCTTGCCCCTGCCGTGTCTCTTGTTACTCCCGTCTCGATGTCTACGTCGTTTCTTTCTCTTCCTCACTCTCGTGTGTCCTTTATAGCTTCCATATCGGGTCTTGCCCGTTCTGTTTTTTTATCTCGATGGCGTCCAACCGGTCTCGCTCGTGTCTATCTCTGCAGTGTCTCTTTCTCGGTGTCCCTCTAGGCCCCGTCTGTCTCTTCTGTCTCGGCTTGTCTCAAACACGAGGCCTATAGCACGCCCCTCACATCCAGGCGCTCCGCTCGCTTGATCCCCCGGCTTATCCACGCGCAAGGAAACGGCTCCAGTACCTTGTGGATTCTCTTGAGCGCCATGACAAACAGTGCTGTAAGGCGGTTGTTTGTAGATGATGCTTGTTGTGGTGGTTAAACTGTTGCGGTTGTTGCCACGTTGTCCTATTCACTGCAGTACCCACGTCGTACCCGTTGCCTCTTGGTTCACTGTGTCGCCGCAGTCCCGGTGTCCCATTTTATATGCGGGCAACTAACGCAGCAACGCGATCACTGCGCCCCTCGCAAATAGTGCGCCGCAAAAATCCTTCGTTAAAAATTAACCGGACCGGTTTGGTGAATTTTATCGGCAACTGATCGCGCTCGCCGCACCATAGGCACCTTATCGCTTTGTCTGCGGCGCGACGTCAAGCTGCAGTCCATCGCTACTTTGCCGTTTCCTGCAGAAAGATCCAGAAGGCGCAAGGATACACGGAGGGGCGCGAGGAGGACTGCTTTCTCGGACCGGAAGCACGTAACGTTGGTATGACGTCACACGGCTCGAGGCGCTCTGACGTAACCATTCTGCCACCGCACCCCGGACTTGAAACTTGAAACAGGGGACATTGGAGACCGGGGGAGGGGTAGGGGGGGAGCAGACGAGGGAGGGGTGGGAGGTGGGGGACAGGGGAGGGGTGGGGGACAGGGGAGGGGTGGGGGACAGACGAGGCGGGGGCAGGTTTGTGGGGGGGGGGTGGATTAAGTTTATTTTATTGTCCAGGTGTTAATTCATCCGGTCAGTACAGCATTATGGCAGTAAAGTATTGTCCTAAGTTTTTAAGAGTGAGCTTGGCGAAGGGGTAAGTGGGGGGGGGGTAGTATGTGGGGGGAGTGAGGAGTGTGTGGGGAGGCGGGGGGGGTGAATGGAGGCAGTCGATCAGAGGACCACATGGGTTTCCAAAGATAGACGCCGGTCCAACCCGACTGGCGAGCTCATGGACCCCCCACAACTGTCCGGCCATTCCGGCCGGGACTTCCCACTCTGGGTCAGGAGCGCTCGGTGCTTTCCACGAGGGCGCAGTTATAGCGGCTGACGTCAGCGTCCGTTCCGGGGCTGGCCCCACGTTGTGCGGTCACTGCTCGAACGAGTGCGTGGAGCTACAAGCGCTGTGAATATATTTACTGCAAAACATCACCTACCAGTGATACACTCAAGTGTACGGGCAGGTGCTCGGTGGATTATTATTACATCGCAGGTTCGTAATAAATGGCGACGGATTTGGTCAGACATCCAGCAAAGAATTGATCAGAGCCGATGATGAGATTCAAGAGAATGAATCGAACGCGTTAGAGATGGATACAGCAGTCGCAGCCGCATAAAGTCGAGCGGTTTCTACCACTAATGGTGATGTAGTGACTTGAGAAAAGAATTCGCCTGCGCTATTAATTTGAGAGCTGAACACCTGTCGCCCGGACCTTGTACCCCCGACCACGGGGTCCCCTGCGTCACGTGGGGGGGGGGGGGGGTCACTTGACACGTGGGGGGGTCACAACGCATGGGGGAAGGGGGGGTCACGCCACACGTGGGGGGTTCACGCCACACGGGGGGTCACGCCACACGTGGGGGTCACGCCACACGTGGGGTCACGCCACACAGGGGGTCACGCCACACGTGGGGTCACACCACACGTGGGGGTCACGCCACAAGTGGAATCACGCCACACGTGGGGGAAACGCCACACGTGGGGGTCACGCCACACAGGGGGTCACGCCACACGTGGGGTTACGCCACACGTGGGGTCACGCCACACGTGGGGGTCACGCCACACGTGGGGGTCACGCCACACGTGGGGGTCACGCCACACAGGGGGTCACGCCACACGTGGGGGGGGGGGTCACGCCACACGTGGGGGTCACAACGCATGGGGGGATGGACGGGGGTCACGCCACACGCGATGCCCTCGTGCTGAATGAATGAGCGCGCTTCCGGGCACGTGACGTAGCCGTGGTGACGTCATGCCGTGACGTCACCGTGCCACGTGACCGCGAGAGAATCAAGATGGCGTCTTCCGAGGCGCCACGCGAGGCGAGTTCCAGGCTACGGCCTCGTGGGGTGGTGTTGGTGGATTCGTGAACTCGGAGACGCGGGGATCGCACCCAGACACGCGGGGGGACTCGCGGTGATACCAGGGCGTGGCGAACAATAGAGCCTCAGAGGTGCAGGGACTCGATGATGCATGAGCTCCGGGGCTTGTGAGATGCAGGGGCACCGAGAGGGAGAGACGCGGGGATTCGGCGGACTCGCGGACTTGGATGTGAGGTCTCGGGAGACACGTGGACTCCGGAGTTGCAGGGACTCGAGAGATACGGAGATAGAGGAGCACAAATACAGAGTCTCGGGGATCCGAAGTCTGATAGATCCTCTGAGATACAGTCCTCACGAACCCACAGGCACGGATACTCGTATATACAGCGACTGGCAGATATACAGATGTTGTGAAACAGGGATTCAGGGACTCTGAGATCGAGGAACTCAGCGGAGCAAAAATACTCCGACATAGATACTCAGAGATTCATGGATAAAGCAACTTGGTAACAACTCGGAGATTTAAGGATACGGAGATGCATTCATTACTCAAGGAGCCGTATGCTCAGACACTCGTTCACAGGGACTCGGCGAGTACCTGCACGTATAAATCCGTGAGTAAAGACAACTCTTGATTCCCTTTATCTCTTGAAGCTGCGAGACTCGCACATTCAATAGGGGCGCCGCGTTTTGCGAGTTGTTTACTACCTCGCCTAATATACAGGAGGTCATGAGTTCGATCCCGACCCTGACGCCTGCTGCTGTATATTTTAAGTTTGCGTGTTCCCGTGGTCACGTGGATTTTTTTCTTCGGGTCCTTCGGTTTTCTCTCCACATGAACAAAAACATTCATTTATAGTACTTGGCAGCTATACATTTCCACATGAGCCACTTCGTTGAGCTATCATTTGTGGCCAGGTCTCTTCTAAAAAAATAACTTTAATAAATAGTAATGGACACAGTGACTAGGAATTATTACGACTTATGCTCAGAGATACTGGACAGTATGGTACCCAAGCCTGTGGTTCTCTGTTCCGCGGGATCCATGGCCACTTGGACCATTAGTCTAGCATTGTTGCGTGAGGGCGGTGGTGGTGATGATGGAGGTGTCGTGGACGAGTTGGTGTTTGTGTTAATCTGTTGGCGGCACAGGAGATGGATGGTGCGATGGTGTCATGTGATTGTCACCTCGGGGTTGTGGGGCTGTCGTGTGCCAATGTCATGCCGTGGCTGACAGATGGCTGTGTCTCACCATTGCGACATGGATCTGTCGCGTATCACACCCACCGTGGTGTCAAAGTTGTGTCGTGTGACTTCGAAGCTATCGCATAGGTGTCATGGTTGTCACACCTTGGTTGTTGACGCTTTCACATGTGTGAGGTGTCTCTCACCAGTGCTGTGTGTCTCGGGAAGACTATCTCTCCCTCCCTCCTTGTCTCTGTAGTCGGGGCTGGATGTCCCGGCTGAGCCGGAAGTCACTGAAATAGCAGTGGCTTCGGCATCGGATGGGGAGGAGAGCCAGGAGGACAGCACTGGCCAGGAGTTGGTCTTGCCAGAAACGGAGATGAAACACCCGCTTGAGAACCGGTGAGGCCTCTCACGGGGAGAGAGAGAAACGCCACGACGTGAAGGAGATTGAGTGTTGGTGTATAGCCTGCATAGTGTTATGTAGTCTGCATAGACTGTTGGGGCAACTGCTGTAAGCAAGTGCTTAGTAAGGCCAGCACGAGAGAGTGATGTGACCAGCACCACAAACTGCACCAGTTACTGATTTTAGGTTGTGTGTCACGTGTGCACTGCCACAGGTGGGCGTTATGGTTTTTCAAAAACGACAAAACGAAAAGTTGGCAGGCGAACTTGCGCCTCATCTCCAAGGTGGACACGGTGGAGGACTTCTGGGCGTGAGTGCTCCACCCATCTTCCCTGACCTATCTCTCTTCCAGGAGCCTCACACCAGACTTTGGGTTCATTTATAATTCCAGTTATGTTGCGATTGCAATTCATTGGAAAAAATATAAATTACAATTGTAATTGATCCCAGGTCTGCCATACACACAACAACAGACACCATTTACTACGAAGTGTTGTTGATGTAAACACGTTCCTTGTGCCAGACTGGGTCCACTAGGAGGCCACATGGAAGGCTTGCTGGCCGGGAGTCATAGGACTGAGATGACTAGCAGAGAGACCACCGGCATTCCCTACTGTGCTAATTGTTCCACACATATGCACAGTGCGGGGCTACTTGGTCTCGGCGCATGATGGGGGGGGGTGGTTGGGGTGTTCGTGACTTGCACTGTCACCTTGATTTGATGGATCAAGTTAATTGTCTTGACGGCCAGATGCATGTCTTCACCGAACATCTGAAATGCAATGCGTCACCTGGGCAGTTTGCCCCATTGATAGTGATTTGAGACCTCAGAGTCATTACCATATTTTTTTACAAAATCTGATGAATGAAAAGGGGTGGTTGATAACACGGGAATTGGGCCCAGAAAACCTTAAACCAGCATTGGGGCAGTATTTGCCACTTTTAGTGGTCATAAGCCAGGAGCATACATTCCATATTTCCGTGGTGGGGCCATAGGAAAAAACCTTTTGATGGGATATGAACTTTTCAATCTTCCGATAGCAAAACTAAATGCTCAACACTTTATTCCACTTTAGTCATAGAGATGGTCAAGAGACTGGAACTGATTATTTAATTGTGTTTTAGAGGTTTAAAAAAATCATTCCAATCGTGCCATCAGTATCATGCAAATAAGATGTAGAATCCCTTTGGAAATCTCACAGAGCAATGCATACCTCTGTGTAAGTCAACTGGTATCGCAAAATTAGCTGAGAGGTATTTTTAGTTGCTTCTCGTCCACATTCGGTAGCAAACCTTCTCACATGCTCTGTCAATTTCATTAACCACAGTGTTCTACAACACTGCACAATAAATGTTTAACTTTACTGAGTTTTGTTTAGTGTCTGGTGTGGCTTGGCAACGACGTTGTGCCAGTAACTACACGCGTCTCTGAGTGCAAGGGATCTTGGTGTCACGCCTGGCAAAGGGTTGGAAATTCAATCAATTAGTTGTACCCTGTGCTGCCATGTGCCCCCCCCGCCCCCAGGCTGTACAACCACATTCAGGTGGCGAGCCACCTGATGTCAGGCTGCGATTACTCCCTCTTCAAGGTGAGTGGTGCCACGTTAGCCTACGCCAAGCGTCACGTGTGCACAGCGGTCTCCCGGCTGCCGGTTTGAAATAGTATTTTGACCCCAAAAAAAATATTTGGACCCCAGAGTGTCCGTCATTTTAATTATTTGAACCCTGGTTATACAATTTATATTGCAGCAAAAAGACTTTACCCTCCCACGGACGAAATTACCTCCCCCTTGGGTCAGAATATGATGTATTAATTAGACGCCAGGTGTTGTACACAGAATTGTATTTGTTATAATGCATTGTAGAGAGACTTGCTGTGTCTTGCTTGTGTCCTCCAGGATGGGATAGAGCCCATGTGGGAGGACGAGCAGAACAAGCGCGGGGGCCGGTGGCTCGTCACGCTTAGCAAGGGCCAGCGCCACTCGGACCTCGACCGCTTCTGGCTAGAGACGGTGCAGCCCCCCCCCTCCCACACACTCAGAATCTGAATATTTAAGCTGGAGCAATTCGATGAGCTATAAAGATTTTTACACAGACGTTACAACGTTCTGACGACCTCACCTGTCGTACTCGTCACCAGGCAAAATCTGCCTATAACAATAATAATGATTGCTCATATATAGCTCTCCAGCGTGTTTGTGTGCCGGGTGTCATTTCGCGTGATGTCCGACATTCCCTTCCAGCATCCTCAAATCTACACCAGAGAATGCTGCACATTTTTCTCACCTGCCCTGCTCTGGGGGCGTGTTTGCCCGATGGCAATCCTATTTGTATTAATTCCACAGAGCTTCAATCAATCAGTATTTATTTTACGTGCCAATATTGGCCTGAATAAATTAGGCATCAGTGCACATTACATCAGAATGGGAATAGTAAAGGGGCATAATTAAGCCAAAGTCCACTCTAAACCGTATCCACACAAACCATGGCAGGTGCAGATATCTGGAGAGTTTTATTACATTCCATTTGTGCATCAATGTGCAACTGTGGTCATCCAGAACAGACCATAAAGCATATGATGACACAATGCCCAATCCACAAATATGAAGGAGACATTACAGCAATACACTCCGCTGGTCCTGATGTGGTTATCTGGCTTGACCACCTGACTTAAATTGTAGTTGTTGCTCTGCATCTACATCAGCCACACTTGAAATCACAGGCGGCCGAAATGGGGATTCCGCCGCAGTGTCGTCAGCAGTGCTGGCTCCTTGTCTCGGGCACAGAGCCACCCCGCTGAGCCACTCTGCTGAGCCACTCCACTGAGCCACCTTACCATGTGGGCAGCCCCTGTTAAGGCGAAATGTGAATGTGTCGCGTTTGTGGCCGCAGCTCCTCTGTCTGATCGGCGAGGCGTTTGACGACCACAGCGATAACATATGCGGCGCCGTGGTGAACATCCGCGGCAAAGGAGACAAGGTCGCGGTGTGGACGCGCGACTGTGAGAACCGCGAGGGCATCATGACCATCGGGTGAGTTCTGTCAACACAACACGGTTGCTACTCGCACACTCACGACCACACACTCACCATAACCATCACCAACGCGCTACAGCTCACTCGCCACCACAGTAACAACCATTGAACACGACGCAATCCATCCCGTACTTGCCAGCATTCCCTCACTATTCCACACCATTCATCCACCAATTACTCACAGCCATACTCACTTCCATGCACTCGCCACCACACACCTAGCATTACACCAACACCACCACGCGCTTACAACTGCACCCTCACCAACCAACCATCACACACGTACTCTACGCAGCGGTGAAACACTGGAGTATCTTGAGTATCTCACCTCCCGGTCTCTCCCTCCCTGCCCATGTTCCTCTTCCCCCTCCCCTCGCCCCTCTCCCCTACAGGAAGGTCTACAAGGAGCGGCTGGGGCTGTCTGGCAAGATGCACCTGGGTTACGAGTCCCACTCAGACACGGCCACCAAGAGCGGCTCCACCACTAAAAGCATGTTCACCGTGTGAGCCCCATGGAGCCACATGGAGCCTGCCACACACCCCACGGTGGGGGCCTTGGGGCGGAGCGCCGGAATGGACTCGGCCACGGATCCAGTCACGTTAGGGGGGCGAGGTGGCTGCGGTGGGGGGGACGCGGGGGGGGGGTGGAGAGGATCTGTGGGATGTCACGGCTTGGGCTCACGAGTACCCTGCGCTTTGGGAGACGGGGAATGGGCGGAGTTGGGGACGGGTATGGGTGGGTGGCCATTGGTGGGTAGAGGGAAGAAGTCACTCTGCCTGGCGACGGGATATTAGGGGGAGACGGCTGGATGTCCCCCGAAGCGTTTTAGCATTATTTGGACGAGGGTTTTTGTTTTTCCCTGCGTGGAGGAGATTGCCGTGAGGCAAGACGGTGCAAGCAGCATCGGAGGGGGCAGGGGAAGAGGGGGACAGGTTAGTCGCATGACCTTGCGGGGGTCGTGAGACGTGTGGCTCTGCCCCCCCAACCCCCACCATCCCACACCCCCACGACTTCTGTTAATTTTACGGTAATTTTTATTTAATAGATTTCTTTAACAATCGCAGATAGTGGTTTTGAATTGGCAGCAGGTGTGAAGCGAGTCCGACGTGATTTTGTCGGAATGGCTGCTGCTGCGTGGGCCCCAAGGGGCCGCGGATCTCTCCGGGTTTGGTTTTTAGTGTCACCGGGAGGCACCGTCGCTAGTTTAGACCAAGCTGAGGTGGCGCACCAGGACCGGTGCCACGCGTGCCGATGGGTGCCATGCGTGGAAACGTCACCCACCCACCTTGCATTATTCGCATGAAAAAACTAAAATAGATAAAAAAAACTAAATGAGGGTGCGAGACCTCTGGAGTGCGCGTGATATACCGAGAGGTTTGTCCACACACACATGGGGCCTGTCCACCCAGCGGTCGGGAATGAGGGCTGGTGTGTGATGTAATCAGTGTGGTTGAGTGTAGGCCGGTGTGGTCGGTGCGATTGCTGTGGCCAAAAACGGAATGGTGTGGTTAGCGTGTCCTGTTGATTCTAGTGCATTGGTTTTATGTGGCTGGTTGGGAGTGGCTGCTGCCTGTTGTGTTTGCTGTGGTCATATTTCCCAGTTGGCCAGGCTGGTGGTGGCAGCGGCGGCGGTGGTGGTGGTGGTGGTGCCGGCGATCCGTCATGTGACTGTTGTGGCCGCGACCCACCACCCACCCTCTTGGCGGCCCACACTAAGCCACCGCCAGCCTGGCCCAGGCCGGCCACCGCGTGCCCCGCCAGGGTGCAGCCACGTCTGGGGCAGTGCCACCGCCGCTGCCACGTGTATGTGCCGTGCACAAATTTACGGTGGGGGGGTGAGGGATGCCTCGCCAGCGTCGACGCACGGTCAGGAGTGTTCAAAATCTCCGCGTTACGGATCTCGCCGTAGCCCGATCAAATGCACCTTACCGAGACTCTCTTAACTGCAGCAACGGTGCGGAGTGTTAGGACGGGGTGGGGGGGGGGGGACCGGGCTTGCGAAGGGTCATATTTATATTCCAGAAAAAAAAGAGCATCACCTGTCCCTTCTCAGCCTGTCTTCCCCTTTAGGGTGAGCAGTGGTGGCCTTTAACTGGGCAGGAGTCGCGTATCCCTAGCAGGGAGACGCCTCTGCCGGGGCTAGTGTTGGGGGGGTCCGCAGCCTCTCATTGTTGTGACCCCTGACCAAGGGTTGGGTATCGGTGCGAGAGTGGTGCCATCGCGGTTGGGACAGCGGCAGCGCTGGGCCCGGTTGACGTCTCACAGTCGCATTGACTGCATCATGCGAGCGAGTGAATAGCAAAACTAGAAACGCGCTTATATTTTACCGGAGACGAATTAAACACAAAACTATATTGAAGTACTGTTGTTTCTGTGGGTGCGGCTTTTGTCTCTTAAGCTTGCGTTTTCCCCCTTTTTTAGTGTCCTGCGTTTTGCAAGACACCTTGCATCGCTCCCCTTGGCCACATCCCACAACTTGGCACGGTCAATTTCTGCCCACCAAGAACCGCTCTTACAGCCTCGTCGCCGCCGCCGCCGCAACCACCAACATCAAGCGTGATGTCTTCCCTCTGTGTTACGCGGTCAACACGTCCTTCAAGGACTGCTCTTAGTCTCGTAAAGCACCATTACCGTCCAGCGTTAACGCTTCCCCTTGGTGAATGGTTAACACATTCGTGAAGGGCTTCCCTCGGTCTCATTACCACAACCGTCTGACTTTAGGACTTTCCCTTGGTTGGTGACATGGGAGTCACTCCAAAGCCTGCTGCCTCTGCAACCTGCCATGGCTCATGGGGATACATTGTCGATGGACACTGCACGTTTTAGATAAAATGTGCTATCCCTCTCCAGCGGAAGGTTGGCACCGTAACAGAGGGGTTTTTTTTTTTCTGCTGGAGAACATGGCGATCTAAAGCGCTCGGCACTTACTCGCTTGCTCAACGACGAATTCAAAATTCACTAACGATGCAGCAAATGCATCGCTGTCACGAAGATTGAGCCAATTGGGCGTGACTTGCGAGTGTTATGGCCTTCTGTTAACCTGGCACACATTTCTTGTAAGTAAAAAAACCAACGCATTTGTCAATGACTGGCCTTGAAGGAAATACTAAGATGTAACGTTTCGGCATTGGCCATATTTCATAGCACGTGAAGAACGACTGTGAAAAAGAGCCATTGACCAAAACGTTGCATGTAATTTTTTTCAATTATCAGACCACTTATTAACGATTTAGACTTTTTTTTATTGTGCTTGTGCACAACTGCCAATGCAGCAGTAGCAGACAATTTTCATTTTGGAAATTCCGCTGGTCATGGATTATTGAGCGACTTGTAATGAGAAACCTCACCTTATGACCCCGAATGATGTGCCTAATCCCAACTCGCCTGCCATCCAAAATCAGCCCCTTGACGCGTATGAAGACAGACGGTCGGGTGCGTCTCTCGCCGCATTGCGCACTCGAGCCGAATACACGCAACAACAACCACCGCCATTCGCCATTAAGTTGCGTTGATGTCACTGTGGCGCTTGTGCCAGGCTGTGCCAGGTTAGGCCAAGCTAGGGACAAGCCTGAAGTGTCGGTTTGCTTACAGGAGGTCATGAGACGGATCCAGCACACCGCTACCCTGACTAACGGACCACAAATCTGCCCGTGTCCTTTAGCTGCACCACTGGCATTGAGAAACGAAAAACTGAACTTTTTAATTGATCCAGGCTGAAAACTCATTTCTTTCGAAAAATGTTTGGGTGTGTAGTTTGTTGTCCACCCGCAACTCCGATTATAACGGTTGGCTATGGACGGTGCGAAAGAAGTTCAAATTTATTGCGGCATGGGACAGGTGTGGCAGTCACTGTTGCCACAAGGCGGCGCCTAAGTGCCACGAGGTTGCCGAGGACCGGAGTGAGGCCACATACCTCGGGAGGGGTGGTAGTTCAGTACAGTAATACATACAATAAATACTCTGGTTCTTTCAATAATGTCACGGAGAAAGCCTGAAATACGCGAGTTTTAAGACGCGATTTAAAACGTGCTAACAGACTCGTGACTGCAGGGATTCATATTCTTGGTTCTTTTGGTAAAAGTCACGTAGAAGGGAAACAAAATGAAAATATCAAACAATACAATTCTCACTTTACCGAAAGAACCAAGAAGACTCAAGATTATCTAATCGCAGGAATCCGATGAGCTATGCAACTCTTTTTCACAGATGTCCAGTAATGGACCGAGGAAGGAAGGCCATTCCACAATCGCGGAGCCAAGCTGCAAAAATATTTCCTATTGAACAAAGTCTCCGGTCTTTGGAATAATGAGTTGAGACCAGAATCGTAGTGGCATATCAAACTTAAGCAGATATATCGGTGGTGAGATATTTAGGAGCCAACCCATTGAAGGCTAGTACTGTATTTAATCAGTATCTGTATTTATACTAGGAGGAATCCGATGAGCTATGAAGCTGTTTTTCACATGTCCAGTGAGGGCACGGGGTCATTATTGCTTGTGCTGCAGACCACGTGGCGATAGTCTTTACAGCGCTGCTTCTCACACTCCAGGCCTCGCGAGCCCCCATTACTGCCCCCCGCGTTTTAACAATTACCAATTATTTTTAATTCGTATCCACGTTAAAACCTGCACGCTGCGCCGGTTGGTGCGGCCTATTTTTTAACGATGGGATGTTTTTGTTATAACCAGCACTCAGCAGTATGAATGGATACCATCACGGGTCGTCATTTTGGTAGATCGCGCGTGGTGGGGTAGAGTGTGGGTACAAGACGTCTTAGCCATCGTGGAAAAGTAGCCGATGAATCCTCTCGAAAGGAGCTCCCTGGCCTCGAAGCTCCGTCGAGCTCCGCCGAATCGCAGACCTTTCCGACAGCATTGGCGTTAGCCAAGTAATTGTAGGGCCGCGCCTTTAACGTTTACATACTACACACACTTGATGGTTAGGAAAGCTGTGGTGTGGCGTTCGCTTGGATTGGAGTTGACAAACACTGTTCGGGCAGGATGCCACTGATTAGTGATGGGGCTGGGAATTTTGTCGCGAGAAGCTCGTGTTTCGTATTTACTCCGTGCCGAGTGAGGCTGGTTTAATCAGTAGCCGGATGACCCATTGTCTAGGAATCCTTTTTAAAGGGGGGGCGGGGCAGCTTTTTTTCAAAAGTGGCGAGGTGGGGGGGGCATTAAACTGCATCGGGACGTCTTGGTGGGGCGGGGGGGGGGGCATATCACAATCTATACTGGACAAATCCGATGGGCTATGAAGCTCTTTTTCACAGATGTCCTTAAATTCACTCTCGGTCGCCACGTGCCGCGAGGTAACCCAGACGGAGCCGTCCCTAGGGTACGGCGAATAGGGGCGACCGGGCCCCGCACCCCCCTGTGGAGGGCCCTGTGACCAGGAGACGGAGTTTCAGCAAGCGGGATCATGAACCCATCTGTGCCCGCATCATACGCGCGATGCGCTTCCTCCGGGTGCCCCGGTTTCCTCCGACACGACACGAAACAGATATTTTCCGCCTAAGGACGACCGCTTGTGTTGCGATCGAAACGTCGTGATTTTTATTTTATTTTTCTACCTACGTGACTTTACCGAAAGAACCAAAGAGTATGGATTCCTGCAGTCACGAAAGCTTCAAATCAAGATCGAAACAGATCCCTTGAGAATAAAACTAAATTGGGCAAATATCCATCATCAGCACCCTTCTCGTGATGAGAGTGCTGAGACTCAGGCTCTCTTGAAAAGACTCTCTGATGTGTTTGCTGGTTCTTCCGAGGGTTGTTTGGCGTGACGTCCGACGTTTCGCTGCACGTGCAGTGTTTGATGTAGGCCAGCCGTTTTGTATCACCAGCAATTAGCAGCGGCCGGCAACGCGCTGTAATCGAGGGAGACTCGGGGACCTGCTGCACGCTGCTGCAGTTGCTGAAACATCTCGTCATCGTGGCAAAACAACACACCGCGGGACAACCCGAAAATACATAATCGCAGAGCTGTACGGTGCGTACACACCGCGACAACTTTCGCGGTGTGGCGTTTACTGGGTAAATTACATTCATATTGATGGGGGGGGGGGGGTCGCTGCTGTTGTGCTCACGGCACCACCACCGATCCCGCGTGTACAAGAGTCGGGAAACTGGCAAAACGAGACCACCCGTGTCATAAAACAGAGGCGGGAGCGCAACTCTATTTGATTTGATTCATTGTAAACGGAGTGAGCGCTCGGGGGGTAGATGGGGTGGAGCTGGGTTGGTCCAGAGGGGTGGCCATGCAAAGCATCTATTAGTGTCGGTACGTGATGTGGATAGGGCCACGCCCGACCGTCTTTGTCTCTCTATTGTCGCAGTGCAGAGTACAGGGTGGACTTTGTATGCTGTCGCGATGGAAGGGGGGGGGTGGCGATGGAAGGGGGGGGCGATGGAAGGGGGGGTGGCGTAAGAGGGGGGTGGCGTAGGGGGGGGGCGGCGTGGGGGGGGGCGGCGTGGGGGGGGCGGCGTGGGGGGGCGGCGTGGGGGGGGCGGCGTGGGGGGGGGCGGCGTAGGGGGGGGGTCGGCGTAGGGGGGGGGCGGCGTAGGGGGGGGGCGGCGTAGGGGGGGGGGGTCGGCGTGGGGGGGGGCAGCGCTTCGGGCCAGTCTCAATATCTCGCCAATTAAAGGTGCACGGGCGCCTTGTCGCTAATTAAAGGCGCACCACGGAGTGGTCGTCTGGATTCTTGGAGGACGTGGAGCACAGCTGCCCGGTCGCCCTGGGGTGGGGGATGGAGGGGGAGAAATCTGACGCCTCTCAACACGTGCACACGCGCATTCCACACACGCTCGCGCGCGCACAAACTACGCCGGCATGCACACAGACACATTGGCACACACAAACTAAACGGACAAACACACGGGCACGACACGAATACACGTGGACACACGCGCGCAGGCGGAAAGACACGAACAGGCGCGCACACAAACATACGGTGCACAGACACACAAAGACAAAGGTGCATTGAAAAATTTATACTCCGACTGATGCTTCTGTTGTTGTGGAGTAACTCATGCAGCCAGCTATGGCTCTAGGATTTGGTGTTACATGTTATTTATGTAGTTTATTGTAAAAATTCGGTCACAGTCCCTGTGATCACTGTTACGTTGCAATTATGGCTTTATTTTTTGGTGATTTCGAAAAGTTTTTTGGTTTGAACATGTTTGTTTTGTTGTAGTACGGAGTTAGACTGATGGCCTTAATCAAAGTTTTCTTGTGGCTGTTGTTGTTTGACTTGCATACCACTGGGATTTTTTGCACACAGCGTTGGTGTACGGTGCTTTTTTCGGGAATATTTTGCTGTTTTTTTTTCATGGATTTTCTGTTTGCACAGTCACATAG